AAGGCAAGCTGCGCAGCTGCAGCCTGACAATCAGCTCGCGCCCCACGACCGAGAGTGCTCCCTGGGCTCTGGAGAATGGCGAAATGCGAATTCACCAGAATCAGTGACAGGGCCCGCTGACACTCCGTCAGGCGCCACAGCTGAGCAAGGGTCGCCGTGGGAACTTCAGCCACTCCGGTCGCCAGCGCCGCAGGCGGAACCGGAAGCGCGGGCGGAGGCGGCACGGACGGAAAATCAGCAAAGCGCCGCGGAGGGACGAACGCCCCTCTCGCCCCTCTGCCTCCCGCCCCCACAAATCCCGTGTCCGGGAGCGGGGGAATCCAGGGCAGAGGGGGATAGGGCGCGGCAGAAACAGGACGCACGGGGACAGGGGGGGCATAATCATCGCCAAGAGTCTGAACCTGCGGGAACGCCGAGGCGAGCGGAGCAGGAGCAGCAATGGGCGCGGCCGGAGCCTGCGCACTCACGTGCGCCGGTGCGGGCGGATGAGCGGCGGGAACCTGGGAGTTCCCAAGATTCGGTGCGCCATTCAAGGCATTGCGCATCGCCGCAGCTAGCATCCCCGGGAAATCTTCACGCAACTACTGCATCTCGCTCAGCCCACCACGCCCGCGACCGTGACCTCCCCACCAGCCACCGCGGCCCCCGCGGTGCGCCGACCGATACGACGACGAGGGGCGACGGCGAGGAGAACCGCGCCCCCGATGCGCAGCCGCATTGCCCCCCGCGGCCCCGCGTAACTGTGACTCCGCGAGTTGCTGCGCGACGGGATGTGCCGGCGCAGCCGCAGGGGCAACCAGGTGGGCGGAGCCGGGGTCTGCGCCCACCGCCGTCCCCAGCGCGGGGCCTCCAGCAACAGCTTGGACAGACGGGGGCGCCACAAGCGTTGGCTGCGCAACGGGATCCGGCGCGGCGGACGCGGGAACAACAAGCTGATGGCTCGGCGAGGGAACCAGAACCCGCGGGACCGGAGCTGTGGACGGCGCGGCAGCAGCAGGAGGAGCCCGGGGAGCAACGGGAGCAGCGGGATTTGCAACAGCAGCAGCAGGGGCTGGGGCTGGAGGCGGTGCAATCACGCTCTCGGCGGTGTGACCTTGGTCCACCGCTGACTTCTCCATGTCAATCGCCATTACGCCGAACGCGTCGGCAGCAGGCGATCGAGGACGCACGGGCGCGTGAGAACGTGGGGGGAGTTAGTCGAGGAAGCCCAATGCTGGCCGCGGCCAGTGCGCGGATGCGTGGTGGCCGTGCCGGAGGTCGCGGCCGTGGTCGGAGTATGCGTGAGGGTGGTCCGGAGAACGCGTTCCAGGAGGCAGCGAGAAGGGCTTTAAGCATGCTAGAAAGAGCTAATGAGGAAGCTGCTCTTTCGGGGAGTATTTATGAGGCGGAGGAGGTAGCGGAATCAAGCTCGAATGCCTCAGAGGAGGCCCAGTCACAACCCCCTGCCCGGTCCAGAGGGAACTCAACCCACGCCCGAAGCGCGGCACCAAATTTCAACAGCAACCCCACCCAGCCGCGACCATCCCCACAGACTCGTACCGCCCCCAACATCCCTGACACCACAGCCAACCACCCCGCCCAACGAAACCTGACATAAACTCCCGCGATTGCACCACGAACTGCAGCGAGTGGTAACCTACAGCAGTCACATCCCCCCCAGAAATCGCCCGAAACCCTCGCCAAGGATAACACGCTGTTCGCGAGCGTGAGTGCCTGGAATCTGGACAAGCTTCGCGATAGTCGCAATGCTCCTCTGGCACGTCGCCTTCCGGAAAAACTGCGACTGCTTTTCGCGCAGGTTTTGCTGACGCCTCTGCTGCGACTCGCTGACGACCCTGATTCCATCCAAGCCTGGACGGTTTTGCTGTTTGCCGCTCACCTGACACTGCGTCAGCAGTCACCGAAGCACCCTGACTGGAAGGCGACCAGGAGCAGACTGCGTAAATTTCTGCGGGGGGAATGGGAATCACTGCACCAGGAAACAGTGGATTCGCTGGACCTTCCCCCCCCCCCCAGACACCAGTCGGATGACCTGGGGGTTATCTCCAGGGCTGAAGGACTGGCACGACGTGGCAGCCTGAGGAGGGCGGTCATGGCACTTGAAGCCACACCAGTCAGCAAGCCGTCGCTGGAAGTCCTGGAGTCCCTACGCGCCAAGCACCCAAGTGCACAGCGGCCCGTCACGCCGTGGCCCCTGCCCGAACCGGACTCTTACCTGGAAGTATCGCGAGAAGCATTCTTGAAACTTCTCATGAAATGTGAGAACGGGGTCGGTGCAGGCCCCTCTGGCTTGACGTTCGAGCACCTGCGCGAAACTTCCCTGATGCACACCGCAGTCAGCTCGCACTTACACACGCTGGTCAACACGATCCTTCGCGGGAAACTGCGCACGGAGGTGGCGGGACTTCCTACCGCATCACGGCTGATAGCCCTCGACAAGCCTGATGGGGGGACTAGGCCAATAGCCATTGGCGAATGCATCCTCCGGCTAGCAGCCAAAGCAGCACTTACCCAGCTAGCGGAAGCGGCCAGGGAATTTTTCTTACCTTTACAATTTGGGGTGGCTGTACCGGGAGGAGCAGAAGCGGTTATCCACGTGGCTCGAACATTCACCTCGGCCCACCAGGACGCTCTAGTCTTGCAAGCCGATATAGCTAACGCTTTCAATAGCGTGGACCGCTACGCCATAGCGACAGCTCTGAAAGGCTCGCAGCTAGAACCGTTGCTGCCTCTAGTCAACTTCTCTTACGGCCGGCCATCCGAGCTGCACCTGGAAGCAGGTTTTAACCACCCGCCGTTACTCAGCAAAACTGGGGTCTGCCAGGGGGACCCCCTTGGCCCCCTCCTCTTTGCCGTGGCCATGCATCCAGCCCTGAAGGCAACAGCGGAGGCACACCCGGAGGTCATCTGCCTGGCTTACGCAGATGACGTAACCTTCTTAGGGGAACCGTCATCATGCGCGGCTGCATTTGATCACTTCACGGGCCTCCTCGCTGAAATTGGGCTCAAGCACAATCCCGCCAAGTGCGGGGCTTGGTCCACTAGGTCGCCCACAGAATATCACCTACCTGAGGGAGTCCCTGCTCAGCGGCGAGGGACTGAAAGTCCTGGGCAGTTACATCGGCACCCCTGGGGCTACCACCGCGTTCGTACGTTCCAGCCTGGAGATGATGGGTGTGCCGCTAGGTTTGATCGAGCGGATGGAGCCGCAGCTGGCGGGGCTGCTGCTGTCTCGGTGCGTCTCACGCCGAGTGTCCTACCTGGCCCGCACGACTCCCCTCCCTTCTCTCCCCAAGGAGGAGTGGTCCGAATGGGGTAGGCGTCTGCTGGACACGTTGCTCACGGCCTGCAACATCAATCACCCACGGGGGGAGGAGGAAATTTCACGCACATGGGCGCAGGCCTCTCTCCCCGTATCGCTCGGCGGCCTTGGGCTGACAGACCCCTCCGTGGAGGGAAGCTACAGCTTCCTTGCCAGCTACACGCAGGCTCAGCTGCTACTTGACACCCTGCAAGGCGATTGCTCAGCCCCTCTGGAAGCTACACGCGAGCTGATGCGCGGTCCCTACTCCCAGTCCTCCCCCTTGTCCGAGTGGCTCGCGGAGTGTGAGGAGGACCTTCCCCTGCCGGCGCAGGAGGCCTTGCAGACAGAGAGAGCAGCCCCATCCGCAGGAAAGCTGCAGCAAGGGCTGGCCACTGCTATCCAGGGACAGCGCTACGCCGTACAGGTGGAGGAGACGAGGGGGATGAGCCTGAACCCAAACAACGGCCACACGCAGCGGATGCTGTCCCTGTCGGGTTATGGGGCGGGGGATTGGTTAAATGCGGTGCCCCTGCACCGCGCGCTACACCTCGAGGGCCCCCACTACGCCAACGCGCTCCAGTTTCGGCTGGGGCTCCCCTTCGCAGCTCCCGGGGCGTGCAACTGCGCAAAGAAGGTGGAGATACTTGATAAGAGGCTCTCAAACCACCTGCTGCGGTGCGGGACAGGGGGGGGGCGCACAAACACACATAATGAACTCAGGGACGAATGCGCACGGATGGCGCGGGATGCAGGCTTCATGGTTCACATTGAAACTCCTGCTTTCAGCCCAGTGCAGGAGAAGAAGGCGGATCTGGCCCTACGCTGCCGCTCAACAGGTGCCGTCTACATCTGTGATGTGACGGTGACTGACCCCATCAGTACCCGCGACGTGAACGCATCTAAGGGACGGGGATGGGCTGCACGTAAGGCGGCAGACAAGAAGCACGGACTCTACACGGACCGCCCAGAGTGGGTGAAGTTCTTCCCACTAGCGGTCGAGACGTACGGGTGCCCTTGCCCAGAAACAGTGGCCTTCCTGAAACTGCTCGCGGAAACGGCTGCAAGACGGCTCTTTAACGCCGAGCCCACCTCCTACCAAGCTGCCAAGCTCTTACACCAATACCGGCAGCGGTGGTCGGTGGCTCTTCAAAGGGGGCAATCGATTTGCTACCTAGAAAAGTGCAGCATGGCAGCTGCTATAGAAAACCCGCTGCTAGAGCCAGTGGGTGAGGCCCCGTCCCTAGGGGACTGCCTCTCGGTCCTGGACCCTGCTCTGGACCTAGCTTAAGGGGGGGGGGGGAGGGGGAGGGGGGGAAAGGGAGAGGGGTAGGGTGGTTGTGTGAGTGGTAAGAGGGTTATGCACTAGACCAACGTATGGTTAGCTTTCACCCTGCATGCCTGTATGACCTAGTATCAATCAATGCACGGGCCATTCGAGAGAGAGGGCGGGAGAAGCAGGTTGTGTGTGTGCGTACGTGTGTGTGCGTGTGTGTGTGGGCATGCGTGCGTGTGACACAGCTTTTACTCTGATCAGCTATCTGCTGACTTTGGCACCCAGGCTCTTTTCCACGTACACAAGGTGGGTGTGTGTGTGTGCGTGCGCGCGCGAGTGTGTGTGTGGGTGGGTGTGTGTGTGTGTGTGTGTGTGTATGTGTGTGTGTGTGCAGCGTGTGTGTTTGTGTTCGTGTGTGCGTGTATGTTCTGCTGGCACTGTTTCCGCTGCATGCTTTTAGCTTTCCTGGCTCTACCTGTTCCTCCTGCCACATCCCGTCCTGCGTCCCCTGCTACCTTCCTTCCTCTGTCCTTTCCCCATTATTGGCTGTTGATTCAAAATTCAAGGGTGGAGAATTTTCACCTCCATTCAAAGGTGTTCCCAGTTTCACCTCTCCATGCATTTTCACACCTCTCAATACTCCTACTGCCACCACTAAAGCGTACTCCATCCCTCTTCACCTATCCACCTGGCGTGATTACAGCTCTTTGGGTGGCTTCCAGAAGAAGCTTCCGTGCACCTCGTTCCGTCCACCTTCACTCCCCTCCAGGTAGGTGGCTGGTGTTCCCCCTTTTGAGTCGAGTCGACTAAAATTCGCTTGTCAAACCCATCCACCAGCCACCCCTTTGTGCAGCGGCGGAAGGAGGTAGTTCCAAATTGGACTTTTGAGGCGCCTCAAAAGTCCCCTTTGTGCAGCGGCGGAAGGAGGTAGTTCCAAAATGGACTTTTGAGGCGCCTCAAAAGTCCCCTTTGTGCAGCGGCGGAAGGAGGTAGTTCCAAAATGGACTTTTGAGGCGCCTCAAAAGACCCCTTTGTGCAGCGGCGGAAGGAGGTAGTTCCAAAATGGACTTTTGAGGCGCCTCAAAAGTCCCCTTTGTGCAGCGACGGAAGGAGGTAGTTCCAAAATGGACTTTTGAGGCGCCTCAAAAGTCCCCTTTGTGCAGCGGCGGAAGGAGGTAGTTCCAAAATGGACTTTTGAGGCGCCTCAAAAGTCCCCTTTGTGCAGCGGCGGAAGGAGGTAGTTCCAAAATGGACTTTTGAGGCGCCTCAAAAGTCCCCTTTGTGCAGCGGCGGAAGGAGGTAGTTCCAAAATGGACTTTTGAGGCGCCTCAAAAGTCCCCTTTGTGCAGCGGCGGAAGGAGGTAGTTCCAAAATGGACTTTTGAGGCGCCTCAAAAGACCCCTTTGTGCAGCAGCGGAAGGAGGTTGTTCCAAAATGGACTTTTGAGGCGCCTCAAAAGACCCCTTTGTGCAGCGGCGGAAGGAGGTAGTTCCAAAATGGAAATTTGAGGCGCCTCAAAAGACCCCTTTGTGCAGTGGCGGAAGGAGGTAGTTCCAAAATGGTCCCGTCACCCCCCGTGCCTCACCGGGTGAGGCACACCCTATTCCCTGCCCGCCCTCCACTTCTTCTTTCTTCTTTACTTTTTTCTTTTTCTTTTTCTTTCTTTCTTTCTTTCTTTCTTTCTTTCTTTTTTTCTTTTCTCCCGACCCACTGAGTGTAGTGGAGGGTGGTGGAAGCTGCGATTGGCTCCAACCCGCGCCACCTGGCAGAGTTCCATTCGCTGTGGGCTGGCTGGCGGGAAAAGGAGGACGAATTTGAGCAAGTGGACAGCTGTGTCGACCACTACCTAGCTTATTTGCATGTATGTGTTGCAGGGAGTGGTTTAGAGTGGTCGAGGGGTGGTTCAGAGCGGTTGAGTGTGGCGAGAAGAGGACGACGAGTGGATAGCTGCGTGGGTCACTGCCTTGCGTATTCACTCGTATGGGTGTATGTGTGTTTTGGTGTGTGGTGCGGGTTTGTGGTTGTATGGTATGTGGTTGTATGGTATGTGGGTGTATGGTATGTGGTTGTATGGTATGTGGTTGTGTGGTATGTGGTTGTATGGTATGTGGGTGTATGGTGTGTTTGTATGGTATGTGGTTGTATGGTACGCGGTTGTATGGTCCGTGGGTGTATGGTATGTGGGTGTATGGTATGTGGGTGTATGGTATGTAGGTGTATGTGTTTGCATTGAGGTGGATAGCTGGTACTATTCATCTCTTCTTCTCGTCCTTTTTCCTATTCATTCTCATTCTCGGCTGCACAGGCAACGGAAGTTGAGCCAGCCATGCAAGCAGCACTCACCCACCTCGAGAGGTTCGGAGAGCAGCTAGCTTCGGGTGAACAGCCTCGGTGGGCGGCCAGGTTCGGAAGCCCCTGGGGCAATGCCCCGGGAACGTGGAGCAGGTGGTGGGTGGAGTGGAGGGAGAGAAGAAGAGGAAAAGATAGAGTGAAATGGAGACCAGAGATTGGCTACGGGGTCGATCGAGGAAATGTGCGTGGGAGGCGGGAAGCATTGGAAGAAGAGTTGCAAGAAGAGAGGGGATTGTGGTATACCAAGGGGGGTGAAGTGCCGGAAGGGGGTCCTGTGGGGAGTGGGAAAGAGGAGGAAGAGGAGGAGGAGAGGTGGATGGAGGAGGAAGAGGAGGAAAGGGGGGAGTATAGGCGGCAGTTGAGGGAGTGGGCACGGTTCCAGATGATGGATTTTGTTCATGCACTGGCGACTGCTGAATTCGGGGTAAGCTGTTGCTGCTTTTGCGGCGCCTCAAGTGCCGTTTTCTGCTGTTGCTGCTGCTGTTGTTGCTGCTGCTGCTGCTGCTGCTGCTGCTGCATTGTTTGTAATTTGCTGTTGGGTTTGACGTACCCCTTACAAGCTGAGAGCAAGATGAGTTGTTTTTGCTCCTGTAATTGCCCTTGCGAGCTGGAGCTTAGGGTGAGAATTCGGCTCTTTTTTTTTTTAAGAAGTTAAAAGTACAGTTGTTTCAAGGAGTGGTTCCACTGTGCAGGTGAACTATGGCAAAGATTCCGGGGAAGAGTTCATGGAAGATCCTGCCGCTGCTGCATTGCTCAAGGTGAGGAGTAGCTATTTGCGACTCTGCTGCCTTCACATGTCTTTCATTCCACTTAGAGTGTCTACTAGTTAGCTCTTTCCGGCCTCTCTCCATCCTGGCCATGATTTGCAATTTGAGCATCAATTTCCATAAATTTGTTGCCCATTGTGTATTGTATTTGGTGCATTTGCTCATTACGTAATGATGTCTCTTCTCTATGTGTTCCTATTAGGTTGGGTTGTTGTACCAGCAACGGGATCCCATGTACGTACGACCAACATCAGTTGCTTTTCAACGATGTCTTACTCGCTGGTGAGACTTTCAAGAAGATGCATTAGTGGCCTTAACTGTTTTCTGTTTGTTATGGGCATGTTTATATTTGTTTCTCGCCTCACATATTTGTTGCTGTGCCTTGCAGGCTCGTAAGCGAACGGCTTCAACTTGGGTCCCTTCAAACTGCAAAATATTATTGGACGAGAATATGCCGTGGCCGGCACTATCGCCATTTGATGCTAGAATGAGTGAGATGATCTGCTCAAGACTTGCAGCAAAAGTATTTGCAGATCTTTATTGAAAGAGCGGTTTTTCATATGCTACTGCGTCTTCTTTAGACGGAGCCTGACGAATCGCCTCTTCCGCCTGCCAGATTGGAAATGTGGTGACAACCTGTCAGCGAGGTAATTTCACTCCTGAATCTGCGGGCTTCGCACATATGATCTGTTTGTCACCGAGATGCATGTGGCCTGTCATGGTCAGGGCTTATTCGAAGGCAAATTGCTCGGGTCCGGGTTGAATTTCGGTTTGTGGTAGGGTGTGCGGTTTGCACCCGCTCTTGTGTGCATGAAATCGTTCGTAGGCTCCAAGGTGCGGCTTGATCTGTTATCTGTCACAAATCGAGCCGATGAGTTGTTACAAATCGAGACACATGGTCAGTGAAATGAAGCCCGAACGCGGTCTCTGCTGGTGGTTTGGTTCTTGCTTTGACGTCCATTGGTGCTGAATCGACGGCTCACATCACATCCAAAAGCACCATCCACCGTAAACCTCGAGGTTGCCTCCACCAAGCTCGGAAATACCCAACTGCCTGTCACAAATGATATTCGCTGAAATCCCTATTTAACCAATTCGAATATGTTGATAAACCGAGCTGCCTCGCACAAAACCCTATCAAACGCCACTGCAGTGAAGTGTTCGGGCCACAGCCAAACTCGAGCAAAGCTGGAAAGCATGGTATAACCGCCATAACCTAACTGGTATTGTAGAGGTGGCTTTTCTCCCCGTGGTAGGACTGGTACCGCTTGATAACCTCGTTCACTGATGGATTTTACCGCTCGCTTTGTTATCGATTATTCCTGCACTAGCCATGACCTATCCACAAGCAAACACGTCGTGCGCCCGACCTCCACAATGGCCGGAATTGTAGTTCCCGAGCAACGAATTTGATAGGAATTGTAGGGCATCCGTGAGTTTGTAATACGACCTTCCTTGATCCGTAGAGGCATTTCTCGAGGCGTCAAGCTGAGCATACTCCTAGCGAAGTGACTTTACGGTCGACTGGAAATTGTATTATGACAGCTAAGTCGAGTGAATAATCATATATTCATCCGTCTGATCATGACCTTAGCGGCCTCTAAGTCACCTACAGTATTCCTCTAGAAGTTCTGCTGAATGGCTCCAGCGGCGAGCAAGCAGATTGAGCATCTCACCTCGTCCCTTGCGGAAATCGCGGCGGATAGGCAACGGGAATTTGAATTCCCTCTGGATGTTAAACGTCCGAATAATAAGGCCGCGAGCCAAACTGTTCGCGAGGGTCATGAAGGTCAGACCGCCTTACGAGTTGACGTTGACGGTGACGGTGACGGATCTGTCTGCAGCAGTCCAGGACCCCGCTCTTGCCGGAGCTCTGACGAAAAATGTCAGATTCCAGTAGCTGCAACGGCTGGTTTAGACGGAGGCGGTTCGGCTGGCGGAAGATTAAGTTGGGGAGGAGGAAATGAATCGTCTCTTAGTACGGACTTGGAACTTTTAGCAAGAGCGAAGAGGCTGAGCCTCGGAGCATCCGCGTTAGTGTCTCGCGGAGATGCTTCTGTACATGACATGCTTATATCGGGGACGTATGCTGTGCATTCTCGCCCGCGAATCACGCCACTGATGTCGCAGCAGAGTGACGTGGCCATCTCTCCCTCAACGTCTGCCAGTTCTCTCTCCCACTCAACCGCGGGCAGCCCAAAGAAAAACCTGCAGTCACGACGGCCGGGCTCGGCAACAGCGGGCAGCCCGAAAAGAATATTCCAGAATCGGGTTGGATTCGCAGATTTGCTAGCGCACGTGCAAGCAGCAACGGCAACGCAGAGAAGAAGCCACGGAGGGAGACAAGGGGAGAGCCTAGACGGAAGCCCCAGGGTAGGGGGTCGAGGAGAGGATATAGTAACTGGCGGAGGGAAGGGCGAGGGAACGAAGTACGGGACAGGGCGGTGTGGGAAGGACAGTCTGCTACTGGAAACCCGGGATGATCTGACGGCGGCGATTCGCAGCAAGCGAAAGGAGCGACGCGTTACGGACGACTTCGCTAACCTTGTCAGTGGCTCCTCTCCACCGACTTCTCCCCTTCCCTTCTCTTCCCCAGTTTCACCTTCCCCTTCCCTTCGCCCCCACCCTCTCCTCCTCCTCATTTGATAATGCGTAGTGCTTTTTCTCTCTCTCTTTCTCTCCATCCTCTCCTTCCTCATTGAGGAGTGCAAGATGTTTTCCTGTTTGTTTGTGCGCGAGGGTTTTTCTCCGGCCTGCAGGTGGAGCTGGTTCAGCTGAGGGAGGCCAACGTGCGACTTGAGTTTTGAGATGTCTAAAAACTGGATTTTCTCTGATTGTTTGTGCGCGTTTTTGTCCCGCGTCTGCAGGTGGAGCTGGTTCGGCTGAGGGAGGCCAACGTGCGACTTGAAGCGGAGGTACGTGCATTTTGACTCGTCAGTCCCAAAACCTGACTCGCAGATAACGATCACGCTAGCTACGTGAGGCTAACTTTCGCCCTGAAGCAAAGTTTCGTGTGTTTGGCTCGGGTAGGAGTGGTGCTTGCAGGGGGAGGTGGGTAGGTGTGGATGGACGGGGAGATGTGTTGGAGGTGCGTGGTAGCTACTAGCTAGCAGGTTAGCTTGGTGAGCGACTAAGGGTCCGCCCCTCTCCCCCACCCCCTCCCTCCCTTCCCTCAGGTGTCTCGCCTTCGAGACAAGTCGGACCGCCTGGAGGGAGAGAAGCGGCGGCGTTCAGCGCGGCTGGCGGCGGTACACACGCCTCCCCTTCCCCCGTCCACTCCCTTCCTTTCGGCCTCCATCCTTTCAACCCTCCCTCCCTTCCCTCAGGTGTCTCGCCTTCGAGACAAGTCAGACCGCCTGGAGGGAGAGAGGCGGCGGCTGTCAGCACGGCTGGCGGCGGTTCACACGGCGATGCAGCAGCTGGAGAGGGAGGCTGCCATTCGCAGCCGGACAAGGGCAGAGGCCACCATGGGAGTTCAGCAGAAGGTGTGCGGTGATGTTTGGTGTTGCGGGGTTGCTGTGAGGTGCTGTGGGGATGTTGTGTGGTGCGATGTTAGAGCGAAACTCGAGGTGTCTGGTTCACATGGCGATGCAGCAGCTGGAAAGGGAGGTGGCTATTCAGAGCCAGACGTCGGCAGAGGCTGCTGCTGGGAGCATGCAGCACAAGGCACTGTGCGGTGTGGTGGGGTGCTAAGGGTAGTCGATGGTTAAGTGGTGATTTCAGCGCCATGGAGCGAGTGCTGGAGGCAGCAGAGGACGCCAGATTGGAGAAGGCAGCAAAGCAAACCCTAGCTGTTGTTGTTTTGCCTCCCCCCACCACAACAGGGATGGAACCGGTGGTTCAGCGGAGATCCCAGCGCCATGGAGCGGGTGTTAGAGACAGCAGAGGATGCCAGGGTGGAGAGGGCGGCTGCTGCTGCCACAGTGGAGAAACTTGTGGAGGAGAACGCTCGCCTGGTGCAACAGGTGGGTTATAGCCCGTGTATTGGCCCCTAGAGGTGCCCTCTTTTGCATGATCGATTGTGTATCTCTCTACCTCATTCAAAGGGGTTTTTCTAACACCTCAAAGCTGGCTCGGAGGCCTAGTGAGTGACCCTTTCGCTGTTTGTTGATTCAAATTTCTGTATACCAATCTGCGTAACCCCTCTGGTGGGTGTGCAGATGAACGAGCAGAAGCTGCTGATAGCGAATCTGGTTACCACCATGCGGACCACTGTCATCCCAGGCACCCCTTCCGGCATACCAGCAAGCTCTCAGAACATCCACGCTGGCCTGTCCCCTGTGCTGGCTCAGCCTCTGCCAGCTCATGCCAGCTCAGCAGCAGGAACAAGAGCAGTAGCAGTAGTGGACGATAACTCCCCCTCCTCCTCCTCCGCACACTCCCAGTTGTCCTTTCCCAACTCCTCTCTCTCCACCCCCCCTGCTTCTTCTCTCGAGCTTCCTTTCACTGGAAGGTTAGCAGCAGCTGCATCGGCAGCACTGCCAGTGCGTGCCACGTCAGCATCTGAGTACACCCTCACAGCTGACGTGGCAGGATTGGGGTTGGAGCATCAGGCGGCAATTGCAGGGAGTGTGGGTGGTAACCAGGAGAGGGTCCCAGTCGCTCATATGAGCCAGAAGATCCAGGACGAGTGCTCCAGGTCTCCATCCCCTCGCCCAACCACTCTGCACCCTTCTGCACTGTTTCCTGCTGCAACGGATGGTGGTTTGCACAGTGCTGCCAACATGGCATCTGTTGCAGCTGGGGAGGGTTCCAGGGGCAGTCATAGCAGTTTTCTCACAGCAGATGGTCCCTCTTCTTTCCTGCAATCCACACACTCGTCCTCTTCCTCCCTTGCTGCAGACGCCTCCTCTCTCCTGCCTGTAGTGCGCAGTGCTCCTCCTCCCTCTGCAGCTCTGTGTGCGCAGCAGCCTACCCCTACCCTGTCTGAAACATCCAGCCGATACCCTGCCATTTGGCCTGTGACATACAGTGAGAGGGAATCAGAAGGAGCAGGAGGAGGGGGAATGGATGGAGGGGCAGGAGCGGTAGCTGTGAATGAAGGGAATGGGATGGCAGATGTGAGGGCACAAGGGATGGTGGTTGAAGCTGGGTCTGTTGTGGCTGCTGGCGGTGGAGCTGGTGGTGTGGGTGTGGGTGGTACTGGTGAAGTGGTGGTTCGGCGAGCAGGGGGTGTGGAGCGGAATGAGGTGTCGCTTATTGATTCGCCGCTCGTCGGCGCCCCCTTTAGGTTGGCGTTTTTCCTTGTGAAGGTGGTGAGTAAAACGGGGATAGTTCAGAGGCTGGCAGGAAGGCTTGCGGGGGGGAGGAATAAGGACTCGGGGGCGGGTGGAGAGAAACGGAATGTCAGGGTGGATGGAGTTGGGTCGTCTGTTGGCATGCTTTAAGAGAGTTTTTAGAACCCCCTGTAATGCAACGTACAGGGGACTATAATGGGTTATATGCAGGACAGCGGCTCGAAAGCAGGGGCTAATGCTGTGCTTTTTATGAATGTATACTCCTACAACTATGAATACTTTAGTGTCCAGGCTCATTTGTCATCGAATAACATGCTTGTACGATATATGAAAGCGCTGAACAGTGTTATAGCGGGCTCGCGCCTATTTCAACAACATTTTGCCGCTCGGTAATCCCCGTGTCAGACAGCACAACCTTCATCCAGCATTAGGGGGACTCGTAGAGCAGAATCATCCGCATCAGCATTCTCCATTTTGTCAGTCGGTCCTATCTCACAGCATGGGACTGAGTCGTAGTTACTGGGCTTCAATTGGTTCAGGGTAGCTACTGTATCCTCAATTGGGAATCCTAGTGAATTGCACGGTAACCATGAGATTGTCGCGCTTCGCCCTCGTCGCCGCGTTGCTGTGCACAAGTCACCTCTTCCCGGTACGCCGTGACTCGTGATCGCTGCCGTTGTCTGTTTACGTCGTCTTGATCGTGTGTCATGATCCTGACTGCTGCCTTGCTATAACGCCGTAATAACTTTGTTGTCGTGGTGACAATCCCTGAGATGACTGCCGTGTGACGGTGTCTAGAGCACGGTGTGATTCAACTGCTTTAGTCTAACAGACCAATTCAGACGCCTCAAGTATGTATATGAGTCAGGGTACATTCCGGGCTCTGGTCTAACCTCTGGTCAAACCTCTGGTTTACCCGAAATCATACCTATTTCTTACCAATTGTACTAATTGTAAGGTTGGCTACAGTGTTAACCAGAGGTTCTGACCAGAGCCCGGAATGTACCCTCATATTAGTCCACATAGCAGTCATAACTGATAACCGCTAGACGTCTTAACGAGTACGGATGAGTACTAACGACTGCAAGATGTCGTAAGAAGCTCTAGCTTTGTGCTTGCCCCAGTAAATTGACATTAAAGCCATGATGTATATTTCCCACTTTCCAGCATTTTCCAACCGTTGACCCTTGCTCCCGGACCGACCCTGAGCCTCCCAGTCCGGCCGCTGAGCCTTCCTATTCCAAAACCCCCTTACTTTCGCCTCTGCTGCTTGTCAAATCCGTCGCTTGTCTGTTGCAGGTGAATCTTACCGTTGTTGCCAGTGACGGTAACTCCTACAGGGACATTACTGACAGCCTCGCAGCTTCATACAGACAAGCGGAAGATCGTGCCAGGGAAAGAGGACGAATCGGGACAGGAGGAATTCAGGAAGTACCAGAGCTAGAGCATGTCCCAAGGATTGGAGTAGAGCAGGCTACCATGGGTGTTGGCCTATTTGCGCACAGTTTAGAGAGAGAAGTAGGTCTCGAGGTGGTGTGGAAGGAAGGATTGGGAGAGAGAGGGTTGCGCTGGAGAGAAAATAGGCAGGGGGGCTTTTCAGAGAACAAGAATCTACAGGAAAGCGGGGGAGGAGGAGGAGGAGGAGGAGAAAGAGGAGAGGCGGAAGGTAGGAGGAGAGCGAAGAAAGGTGCCGGAGGAGGGCAGAAGGAGGGGCGGAGACGAGGAATGCAGCATGTAATGAGAATGGATACAGGAGGCCATGCATTGAGCCTTGCAGGAAGCCATGCAGGGAGCCACGCAGAGAGGCATGCAGAGAGCCGTTCTCGGCGGTTGCTATATGAACCTGATGGTGCCATGCGGTCGCGGCACCACCGGCTGTTCAACTCGTGCTGGAGTGTGCATGAAAGGCGCTACTACCAACCCGTGAGTCTTAATTATGCAAGGTGACTCGTGACTCTACTTGAAGGTCATTCAAAAGCTATTCAGCGTCACTAACAATCCACTTATAAAGTGCTACTTCGAATTTGTGAGTCTTTGCTATTCAATATCCGAGACTCGCTATTATGTTCCGAGGCAGGCATTAAATCTACTAAAATAGTTTATCCTCGTTGCAGCCCTCTTGCATGCATTATCCGCAAGCATGCCAATGACGGAGGAGCTTGCAGAGCAGGTGAAGGCGTATGCAAAGAATCAGGCAGCCATATTGTTTCACTGTCCATTCTTATTCTTATGCTGTTTCATTGTTGCAACACCTATGCTTCCAGGCGTCATCTGCTCGCACGCCAATGACAGAGGAGCTGGCAGAGCGTCTCAAGGCGTATGCAGAGAGGCAGGCACGGTGCATCAATGGCGTGAAGGACTGGCCTGATTTCCTCTCCAATCCGTGCGTGCCACCTGGCTGAATATTATATCAATGCTTGCATACGCACGGATTGATGCATCAGGGCGGGTCCAGTGCGTACGTTTACAGTTCATCCGTCGTGGTGTAAAACGATATCAGGCGGTGCAGAGCGTTTTTCAGTTTCCACATTTTTGGCACCGCGGCGCAACAAGATTAACCGCACAGAATGCGCTGTAAATGTACGCGCTTGCCGTTTCAACACCAGTTCTTGCCTTTGAATGCCAACGCCCAAAGGGACCAATTCAGCACGAAGAAACTCCAAGGTGGAGAGCATGCATCCTCCGTGACAAAATGCCCTTACCTTGTTCGTCTGAAGGGAATCTGTGCCCTCTTTCCTCGCTGCTTCTCATTAAACTCCCAGTCGCTCAACTCTGTCTCTGAACTCCCCGTGTGCAGCGCCAAGGGACTTCAAGTCGGAGTGGATGCATCCTCTGTGCAGGAATGCTCCTACCTCTATCATCTCGACCCTGCCTACAGCGGTTAGTCCTTATCTCACATGAACTGGGTGCTGTGGTATCCTGATGCTGTGGTGTTTGCCAGCGGTGAGGTGAGTCATATCTGGTGTTTACCAGCTCAATCGTTTCCTCCTTCACCTACCTACGCTCTCCTCACCAGCCACACGCTCTGTTCCCCACTGTCGTCTTCCCACTCCCCCCCACCTCTTGTTGTGCAGGTCCGGGAAACCAGTTGCTGCCCCTCGTGCCCGCCTTCACAGACGCCTTTTGCCTTGCAGGGATTTTTTAGAATTCTCTAAAAGTTCCCCACTGGCGTCTTCCTGTTCCCTCCCCCCATCACTGTTTAGGTCTGGGCAACCAGCTGCTCTCCCTCGTCTCCTCCTTCACCTTCGCTCTCCTCACCAACCGCACGCTCATAATCAACCCGCACGCGCAGGCAGCCCTCTTCCTCTGCGATCCCTTCGCGTTCACCCCCACCCCGTCTACCTGGATGCCCATGGACTCGCCCACCTTCGCGTAAGTTCTGACTTCTGAGCGCATGAGCACTAACTCCCTTGTGTCTTCACCTACGCCCTTCTCACCAACCGCACGCTCATCATCAACCCGCACGCGCAGGCAGCGCTCTTCCTCTGCGACCCCTTTGCATTTACCGGCACCCCGTCAACTTGGATGCCCATAAACTCGCCCACCTTCGCGTGAGTTTTGACTTTGGACTTCTGAGCGCGCCGCACCAACTGCATGCTCCTCACGAACCGCACGCTCATAATCAATCCACACGCTCAGGCAGCGCTCTTCCTCTGCGACCCCTTTGCCTTCACCCCCACCCCGTCCACGTGGATGCCCATGGATTCGTCCACCTTTGCGTGAGTGTTCGCCTTTTTGTGTCAAGCCGCTTATTCTGTGACAGCTTCGCGTTCACCAGCTGCACGCACAGGCAGCGCTCTTCCTCTGCGACCCATTTGCTTTCACTCCCTCCCCGTCTACCTGGATGCTCATGGACTCGCCCACCTTCGCGTGAGTGCTCAGTGCGAGACAGTGCTGAACCTTCTTGTGTCAAACTGTCTCCTGTCGTTTCTTCCCACCCCTCCTTCATCCACCCACCTCTTCTAGTACCATTTCTGCTCCCTCCCTTCTTTCTCATTTGTCCACTTCCTCTCTCCCTATTCTCCTCTCTTTGCTTTCCCCCGCCCTCCTTTGTTCGTCTAGAGTAAAACCATAAGTACCCGCGGGCCTGCTTCCTTCTTTCCTCATTCTCCGCTCTTCTCTTCTCTTTCTTCCACTCCCTCCCTTACTCTTCCCTCCTTTCCATCGCTCCTACCCCCTCCCTTCCCCTCTCTCCCTTCTCCAGAGCTCAGCGCAATGTGATCACAAAGCAGTCTCCGAGGTTCGGCACGCCAGCCTATGCTGCTGCCATGGATGCTCTGAGTAGCAGTGGCAGCAGCAGCATCAGTACCAATAGCAGCACTACCAATAGCAGCACTACCATCAGCATTACCAACAGCAGCAGCGCCATGAACAACACAGACGTTAACACCACTGGTGGGGAAGGAAGCAGTGCAATCTCAGGGCCCCCTTCTGCTTCTGCAGCTGGTGCTGCTGATGCTACTGCAGCTGCTGCAGCTGCTGATGCTGCCCCTCCAGTGAGCAGCAGCAGCAGTACGGGGAGGGTCAACATGGTCTACGTGGAGCTCAAATTCACGTATGCTTCTGCTGCTTTCTGCTACCCTCTGCTGCCCTTCTTGCGCGCTTTGATTGTCCAGTCCTGCCTTGCTTGCCTACGCAACCCATCCCCTGAGACGTGCCCCACACTCCCCCTGCCCCACACTCCCCCTGCCCACTCATGCCCCGCTGTTTCTCACATGGCGGATGTATGTCGATGCGATGTTGTGCCTGCGTATGTGAGACATGACTGTCCATGCCTGTGTGTGAGGGTGCGTGTGCATGTGTCTGCATGTGGGTGCATGTGTGTGAGTACGTGCGTGCACGCCCATGTCCCTATGTGTGCGCGTGTGCATGTTTGTCTATGTGGTTATGCATGTGTGTGTGCCTAGTGCATCAGAGGCAGACCTAGCGTTCTTCTGTCCGCACCACCAGGAGCATCCACACGGCTCCCTCTCCTCGGTTCGCATCCTGGGTCTGCTAACCGACGCATACCTTCTCCCTGCCCTCTACCACGCTCCGCACTTACAGGTAAGTTCACAACCCAGCACCAGCAGCAGCAGCAGCACCAGGAACAGCAGCAGCAGCACCAGGCATATCAGCAGCACAAACACGGCTCCCTCTCCTCGGTTCGCATCCTTGGTCTCTTTACTGACGCCTACCTTCTCCCTGCTCTCTCCCACGCACCGCACTTACAAGTAAGTTAACAACCCAGTCTAGCTTGGTATAGCTCGGTTTTTTTTTTTTCTGAAACGCCTCACAAAAGGTAGCCAGCCTACTTGTTCCTCTATACCGTGTGCCACGGTTTCAGGTGAAACAAATCTAGTCTCCCTTCGTGTCTCCTTACTCTCCGGGTTTTCTCCTTTGCCCCCCTTGTGCTTCTCTCTATGCTTCCTCTTTCTCCAGGCTGAGTTGGAGCGCCTGTTCCCCGACCGCCTGCCGCTGATGCACGTGGGGCGCTACCTGCTGCATGACTGTTGTCCTGCTCTCAGATTCCCGTCTCTCTGTCTTTCCCTCTGTGCTTCCTCTTTCTCCAGGCTGACTTGGAGCGCCTATTCCCCGACCGCCTGCCGCTGATGCACGTGGGGCGCTACCTGCTGCATGGATGCTGCCCTGCTCTCAGATTCCCGTCTCTCTGTCTTTCCCTCTGTGCTTCCTCTTTCTCCAGGCTGACTTGGAGCGCCTATTCCCCGACCGCCTGCCGCTGATGCACGTGGGGCGCTACCTGCTGCATGGATGCTGCCCTGCTCTCAGATTCCCGTCTCTCTGTCTTTCCCTCTGTGCTTCCTCTTTCTCCAGGCTGAGTTGGAGCGCCTATTCCCCGACCGCCTGCCGCTGATGCACGTGGGGCGCTACCTGCTGCACCCCGCCAACTACATCTGGGAGGAAATCACCCGCGCCTTCCGAGCCTACCTCGCCCCGCACCAGCACAGGGTCGGCATTCAGGTCCGTACCAAACCAGCACAGGCTTGGCATGCAGTCGTAAGCTTGGCAGTCAGGTCCGTAACAGCACAGGCTTGGCATTCAAGTCCTTTGTGTGTAACACCTCCTGAATGCATCTCTTTTGGGAGCAGCATGTTGGTAAGCCCACCCACCACTTTGCACCCTTCACGAGAGCATCTGTTTCGCGCAGCCAGACCCTTCCACCCCGATTCTCCCCCATTTTACGTAAACCTCAGATCCGTTCTTCCGTTCTACCTTTCCCCTTCCTCCCCTCAGATCCGTGAGTTTCAGAAGTACGTGCCAGCTGACGACGTGCTGCAAAGGGTGGTGGATTGCGTGGTGAATGTGACTAAAGCGGTGGGCCCCATAATGGCACATGAGGACTGGGAGAAGCTGACGAAACAGGTTAGTCTGTCAGTCGGTTGTCCGGTCGGTGTGAGGCCGAGCAGAGCTGAGAGGGTGGTGGATTGCGTGGTGAATGTGACTAATGTGGTGGGCCCCATTATGGTACACGAGGACTGGGAGAAGCTGACGAAACAGGTCAGTCAGTCAGTCAGTCAGTCAGTCAGTCAGTCAGTCAGCCAGTCAGTCAGCCAGTCAGTCGGTCGGTCGGTCAGTCGGTCGGTCAGTCAGTCAGTCAGTCGGTCGGTCGGTGGGTCGGTTGGACAGTCGATTAGTCAGTCAGCCACCATTCAGTCAGGCATTCAGTCAATACTGGGTTGCTTCCTCTCCCCGTTCCCTGTCTCCCTCCCTTCTTCCCTTCCTTGCATGCATACATCCAGCCACCTCCCAGCAACGCCTCCCTGCTGAGCCACGTGCTGGGAGAGCAGGATCTGCTTATGGGGCAGAGAAACGAGACAGAGAGAGAGGAGCAAGCTAAAGCAGAGGAGGGCGAGAAGAAGGAAGGCGAGAAGGGAGATGAGAAGAAAGAAGTCGAGGGGACAGAGATGCTGGGAAACAGGGTCGATGGTGGTGGTGGTGGTGGAGGGGCGGAGGTGGAGAGAGTAGCAGGTGCAGAGGGGAGGAGGAAGGGGGGGAGTGTGGGGGTGTTTGTGGCGTCACTGCGGGCGGCGTATGGGGAGATGCTGAGGGAGATGAGCACAGAGGGGCGGCCAGAGGGCGGGCAGGAGATTGCAGTCAGCATGTGAGTTACTCCCCCCCACTCCCAGTCTGTGTGTGAGCATGTGTGCCGTTGTGTGCACTTGTGTGTGCGGTTGTTTGCGCCGGGTCGGGGAATTCCTGTCAGCATGTGAGTTGCCCCCTGCATGAGGAGCAGCAGGCAGAGAAGAACGCGAATTGACTTCAACTAGTATTGAATTCATCTTTCAGCTTCGCCCTTACCTATCCCTAGTATCTCTCATCCCCCTTATCTCAGGCTGATTCACGAGGGAGCACAGCAGCTGAGGGAGAAGAAGCAGGCAGAGAGGGCTTTGGAATTGACTCAAGCCTCACCTCAACTATTTCCACTCTCCCCGCACCTGCTCCTCATACCCCCCTCTTGTGCCTCTTCTGCAACCATCCCCAGGCTGAGTCACGAGGGAGCACAGCAGCTGCGGGAGAAGAAGCAGGCAGAGAGGGCTTTGGAATTGACTCAAGCCTCACCTCCACTATCTCCACTTTCCCCGCACCTGCTCCTCATACCCCCCTCTTGTGCCTCTTCTGCAACCATCCCCAGGCTGAGTCACGAGGGAGCACAGCAGCTGAGGGAGAAGAAGCAGGCAGAGAGGGCTTTGGAATTGACTCAAGCCTCACCTCAACTATCTCCACTTTCCCCGCACCTGCTCCTCATACCCCCCTCTTGTGCCTCTTCTGCAACCATCCCCAGGCCGAGTCACGAGGGAGCACAGCAGCTGAGGGAGAAGAAGCAGGCAGAGAGGGCTTTGGAATTGACTCAAGCCTCACCTCAACTATCTCCACTTTCCCCGCACCTGCTCCTCATACCCCCCTCTTGTGCCTCTTCTGCAACCATCCCCAGGCTGAGTCACGAGGGAGCACAGCAGCTGAGGGAGAAGAAGCAGGCAGAGAGGGCTTTGAAATTGACTCAAGCCTCACCTCAACTATCTCCACTTTCCCCGCACCTGCTCCTCATACCCCCCTCTTGTGCCTCTTCTGCAACCATCCCCAGGCTGAGTCACGAGGGAGCACAGCAGCTGAGGGAGAATAAGCAGGCAGAGAGGGCTTTGGAATTGACTCAAGCCTCACCTCAACTATCTCCACTTTCCCCGCACCTGCTCCTCATACCCCCCTCTTGTGCCTCTTCTGCAACCATCCCCAGGCCGAGTCACGAGGGAGCACAGCAGCTGAGGGAGAAGAAGCAGGCAGAGAGGGCTTTGGAATTGACTCAAGCCTCACCTCAACTATCTCCACTTTCCCCGCACCTGCTCCTCATACCCCCCTCTTGTGCCTCTTCTGCAACCATCCCCAGGCTGAGTCACGAGGGAGCACAGCAGCTGAGGGAGAAGAAGCAGGCAGAGAGGGCTTTGGAATTGACTCAAGCCTCACCTCAACTATCTCCACTTTCCCCGCACCTGCTCCTCATACCCCCCTCTTGTGCCTCTTCTGCAACCATCCCCAGGCTGAGTCACGAGGGAGCACAGCAGCTGAGGGAGAAGAAGCAGGCAGAGAGGGCTTTGGAATTGACTCAAGCCTCACCTCAACTATCTCCACTTTCCCCGCACCTGCTCCTCATACCCCCCTCTTGTGCCTCTTCTGCAACCATCCCCAGGCCGAGTCACGAGGGAGCACAGCAGCTGAGGGAGAAGAAGCAGGCAGAGAGGGCTTTGGAATTGACTCAAGCCTCACCTCAACTATCTCCACTTTCCCCGCACCTGCTCCTCATACCCCCCTCTTGTGCCTCTTCTGCAACCATCCCCAGGCTGAGTCACGAGGGAGCACAGCAGCTGCGGGAGAAGAAGCAGGCAGAGAGGGCTTTGGAATTGACTCAAGCCTCACCTCAACTATCTCCACTTTCCCCGCACCTGCTCCTCATACCCCCCTCTTGTGCCTCTTCTGCAACCATCCCCAGGCTGAGTTTCGAGGGAGCACAGCAGCTGAGGGAGAAGAAGCAGGCAGAGAGGGCTTTGGAATTGACTCAAGCCTCACCTCAACTATCTCCACTTTCCCCGCACCTGCTCCTCATACCCCCCTCTTGTGCCTCTTCTGCAACCATCCCCAGGCTGAGTCACGAGGGAGCACAGCAGCTTAGGGAGAAGAAGCAGGCGGAGAGGGCGCTGAGGGAGATGTGGCTTCTGTCCATGTGGTATGTATTTATGTCCCTCTGTTCGCATGGTGCTCTGATCATGGGACACTCTCAGCGTGTGCATGGCGTTATGCATGCTCAAATGTGGCTGCACTCAAGGATGTAGCACACGTGTATGTATGTCCTCTGTAGGCGCGATGTTCTGCCTCCCATGTGGTATGTGTTTATTCAGCAGGTGTGCGGTAGGCTAGATTCACTCAGGTTGCTGTGGTCATTACGGTACACGTACCATAATTACCAGAATCCGGTTACTGCTTTACTCAAACACTTGGCGTCGTTTAGCTACATGGCAGCAGGCCTGCCACTCCTCCCTCCCACTTCTGTTCTCCCATACCCCTCCTGCCTCTCCTGTCTCGCCCCAGCAACACGCTACTCATAACGGGCACATCCACATTTGGCTACATAGCAGCAGGTTTGGTGGGAAATCACTGCTGCCCCTTGTCTTCTCCTGCCACTCTTTCTCTCCCACGCCCTCACCCCTCACCTCTCTCCTCCCCCCAGTGACACGCTACTCATAACGGACACATCCACATTCGGCTACATAGCAGCAGGCCTGGCAGGCGTCCGCCCCTTCTCTCTCAACATCGTTGCTCGCTACCACAGCGACTGGCGCAAGAACAACCGAACCTCCTGCTCCCGAACCTCCCCCGAGCCTTGCTACCTGTCGATATTCGACGTCAAGTCGAGGCATATTCAGGTAAGGTTTTACCAAATTCTGTATGTGAAAAAAGGTCAGATCAATAAAATTTCTTTCATGTTCAATCCTGTGAGAAACACCTTCCTTGTGGCTAATTGGTAAGTAGTCTTAAATGCCAATTTAGCGGGTCAATTCTGCCCAATTCTTTTCGAGAACTGTAGTATGACCCCTTCCTTCTTGCCACGTATCCCCCAACCACCTCACCCCTTCAAATTCGTTTCGTGCTTAATGATACCACGTTACAATGCACCGCACCGCACTCCTCAAGCCATAACACCTTCAGACAGATGTCCTTTCAACTTTTATGGTAATATTGCCCCTCTGCTGCCTGCTGTTCCTCCTACCTTTCTCTCCCCTCCCCGACCCCTCCCTCATCCCTACTCACTCTTACGCCGGTATCCTGCAGTGCCCCAATGTCTCACCAGTCACCACCCCTGCAGCTGTCTCCTCGCTCGTTGAATCATGTCCCAACTTCAGTATGGGCCTTTCTATTGTGCAAAGGGGCACACAAGACAGCCCTTCTTGAGTTGTACAAAATAATAAATGATTAAAAAAGCTGCATGAGTAAACAAGCCTTAAAAAGCTGACCTTCATTTGCATGTTTATTATGTGTCTATTGTACCAATCACGATTCAAGATTCTTTGTCTTGTACCAACATTGATGAGTTAATTTTCAACAATGTACAGAAGGCAGATATGATAAATTAACTACGTTCTAAAACCCTAGATGTGACGCCTAGTCTACCACATTACACGTGGCAAGTGCTTTGTGGATCCTTGGTTCAGAAAAAGAGTGCAGGCGCAAGCAGTGCCATCACCCCACAAACGAGGCAGCTTATAACGGATCCAAAAGCTACAGCAGGAGGTGAACCGGCTTTGGGAGGAGTGGGAGGGGGAGGTGGAGAGGGAGAGGGAGGAGGAAGGGAGTCCAACGAAGGAGAGAGGACAGGGGAGGTAGGAGGAGAGGGAGAAGAGGGTAGAGATGGTGTTTTGGGCCCTGCGGGAGTGGGTGAGATTCTAGGGGAAGCCGGAGGAGCAGCAGTGCTAGGCAAAGCAGGTACAGCAGGAACAGCGGGGACAGGAGGAACAGGAAGAGGGGAAGTGGAAGGGACAGGGACAACATTGGGGCTTGAGGCAGGAGCAGGGGTGACGACGGGAGGGGTGGTGGTGGCAGCGAGGCAGGCGGGGGGGGTGGGGCGGTTGAGAAGGCTGGTGTATTCGTTGGGGACTGTGCATGTGTCGGGGACTGAAGAGAAGGTTTCGCAGCAGGATGTGGCCTCGGGGTATACGTTGGTGTTGCCTGCAATGCAGTTGGTCTGAAATGGAGTGGAGCAAACGGGAATGGGGCAGGCAGCGGGGAAGGGGGGACATTGAGATGGTATCAGGGATTAAGGAGACGCTGGTGTTGCCTGCAATGCAGTTGGTCTGAAATGGAGTGGAGCAACACGGGAATGGGGCAGGCAGCGGGGAAGGGGGGACATTGAGATGGTATCAGGGAGTAAGGAAACGCTGGTGTTGCCTGCAATGCATTTGGTCTGAAATGGAGTGAAGCAACACGGGAATGGGGCAGGCAGCGGGGAAGGGGGAACAGTGAGATGGGAATGAGGGAATGAGGAGAAAAGGTCACAGCAGGATGTCACAGGGGGGTAGACGTTGATGTTGCCTGCTATGCAACTGGTCTGAAATGGAGTGGAGCAAAAGGGAAATGGGGAAGGCAGAGGAACAGTGAAATAGGAGTCAGGGAATGCGGACAAGGTGTTGCAGCATGATGCACCCAACGGGTTATTCAACATCATTACTAGTGCGTGTACTATTATAACATTCTCTAATTATGACTGTTATTCGTATTCTTGTTGTATCCTTACTTCTATATTATTATAAATATGGAAGAACTTACACTGGAGAGCACCACTTGGACCTTGTCGTTGCCCATGACGACCCGCAGAATGCCCCCCACGATTTGAGTCATGAAGGTGCGCGAGTCGGGGAAGTACGGCGTGAGGTCAAGAGTCGCACCTTTAGAGGTGGAAATGACTGGTGGAGGGGAAGGGGAGGAAAAGACAGGACGGGCGGAAAACGAGGGCAAACCACACGATTTAAGACACAAAGGTGCGCGCGTCGGGGAAGAACGGCGAAGAGAAGGGGGGTTGCCCTCGTGCGGCCCCCCTTTTTCCACCATCAACAGTAACGCCTTTTGAGGTGGAAATGACTGGAAGAGAAGGGGGTTTGGGAGTAGGGGGCAAGAAAGAAAGGCTCGGGGCTTGGGCTTGAGGCTTGGGCTTGGAAAGGTGTAGTGTGTGTGTGTGGTGGTGAGTAAAAAGAGAGCAAACCCTACGATGTGAGTCATGAAGGGTGCGTGTGTCAGGGAGGCAGGGGGTGAGGAACACTGCCACTGCCGTAGACCACACGAACTCGTTCACTGTCGTGCAGCTGCCCGCGTAGGGGTCGCATCCGTCGGGGCGCACTCAGACACACTCCCCCCCTCCTCACCCCCCCCTGCTCTCCTTCCCACGCTCAGACGCAAAGACAGCCGCACACTCACACAGGATGTCCCCGCGTGCTCTAAACACGGCTTCAGCCTCTTTGCGGCACGCACACAGCCACTTCCGTGCATTCCACGGATTCGTTCACCGCCACGTAGCTGCCCGCGTTGGGATTGCACGTGACTAGAGACACTCAGACTTTCACACGCAAATCCAAATTGCCCCCGCCTGTTACAGACCCAATGTTACTGACAGAGAATGCTCTTGCATGCTTCGAAAACTGCCTCAGCCTCTTTGAGGCACACTGCCACCTCTGTCGACCCCACGAATTCGTTCGCCGTCACGTAGCTTCCGGCGTAAGGGTCGCACGTGGCGGCGCACAACAGGTCGTCGAGCAGCTGGTTGCACTGCTGCTGCACCGCCATCGAGTCGCACACCTGGTGGTGGGGAGGGGGGAGCGGTATGATACGGTTGAGAAGAGAAAGTGAGATCGCACGAGGTCGTCGAGAAGCTGGTTACACTGCTGCTGCACCGCCATGCTGTCGCACACCTGGTGGTGGTGGGGAGGAGGAGGGGTGTGGGAAGGAGGGGTGTGGGGAGGAGGGGTGTGGGGAGGAGGGGTGTGGGGAGGAGGGGTGTGGGGGGGGTGTGGGGAAGGGGTGTGGGGAGGAGGGGTGTGGGGGGGAGGGGTGTGGGGAGGAGGGGTGTGGGGAGGAGGGGTGTGGGGAGGAGGGGTGTGGGGAGGAGCACGAGAAACGCGATGGGATAGAGGCCAAGGGAGAAGCGGTCACGAAACCCCACAACACGTTTCAGCGCAATTCAACTCAGTCAACGCGTTTAGTCCAAGGCAAAGCGTTAAACTACCCAGTCAACACTCACCATCGTGTCGCGCGGGATGTCGCCCAGAATCGCCACGGAGATCTGCGAATGCATTTCAACCGAGTCAACCAAGTCAGCACTCACCATCGTGTCGCGCGGGATGTCGCCCAGAATCGCCACGGGGATCTGCGACATCACGCTCGGGTCCAGCGCCTGAACAATGTCGTACAGATTCGCGCTGGCCAATGAGAGTGCGTCGTTCACGTCTTCGCAATTGTCGCAGCACGTCATTCCGATATACGCGGGGCATCGCAGCGGCGCAACCGCGGGAATCGCGGGCGGGTTACCATTTGGGCAGATGGGGAAACCGGTGTTGTTTTCCAACGGCGGCGGATTCTGACCGTGGACGCGAACAGAGGGCGAAACGGCGACGGTGGTTACCACCAAAAGGATGTAACATTTCGCTACGTGTGAATGTACACCTCGTCGCCTGAATACGGGTTCTCTGGCCATAGCAGCTCTATTGCCTATTGACGACGAAGTGATTCTGATTGGTTCTACTGGCTATAGACCCTCAAGCTCTGCCAGCACCTATAAGGTCTTCTAGACTGCGAACTCTGGTGAGGAAGGATTCAGGCGGATAATGAGGGCGCAGGCTCTAACGGCTACTGTGTAGTGAATTGGCGGGCTTAGAAACAAAAGCCAATCCGTTGCGGAACCGTCAAGGCAGCTTGGTTGGCTGGCGCAGGAGTGTCAGCGTGACTACCGCCAGCTAAGGAGAGGTGGTGTTGTGGTGTGGTCTGGTTTGGTCTGGTGTGATATGACTAGGAACACCGATTTGTACGGCTTCTCAAAGTTTCGCACTTCAGCTGGGCTTACTCAGAGCAGGAGTGGAAATAGGAGTGCAAAATTGGCACGCGACGCGAATTCTATGGAGCGAATAAACCACGTCACCTGACCAGTTCCTGAACGCACCGACTAAAAAATGCAAACTCGTTGAGGCCCTTGGAGGGACGAAGCAGGTCTGGTCCGAACCGAACCTCCTGATTCTCTTCAGGCTATTTCTGGAGGCGAGAGTTGATCTGGGCTGCGTTTGGCAGTGACGTACCTGACCGCGTCGCGCTAATTCGATCAAAAGACCTGGGACGAAGCAGTCTTCGCCCCGCGAAATTTGCTTCGGCGGCACCAAACCACGCTCCACAACGAATCGCGAACCCACGAATCACATCCCAGCGGCACTGCTTGCCAAGCCAATTTCTGTGGCGTGGAAAAATGTCGGTGATGTGACCCTCTGCAGTTGCTATTTATACAGTGTCGAATCAAATTTCCAGTTCAGACTAGAGGTGACTAGATAAACTAGATTATCCTGGTTGGTCACAAAGGCATAATCATTTCCTTTCAAGGTTTGGTTGGTATTGCTCATGACTTGCATGGTGGTAACCTTGTGACAAAACAGCCTACCTTGTGGAATCCATCCCATCATGTGCTCCCCCCTCCCCCCTCCCCGCTCCTCCCCATATCCCTACATCGCTTATTTTCTACGCGACACGCTTTTTTTTTTTTTTTTTTTTTTTTTTTTTTCATAACCCTACTACACCCCTCCTCTTCCCCCACCTTCCCAACCCTCTTCCCCTCCTACCCCTCTACCCCCTCACGTCCACTCATTCTATGCGACTCGCATGACTCTCCCTCTTGACTCCGGTCAACGCCTCCCACCGCGACGCCTCCAAGCAGGCCTTTCAGACGGTAGCCTCAGAGACTGACCCTCCCATCTCTCCCCCCCTCCCCTCCCTCCTCTCCCTCCTCCCCTTCCCTCCCCTCTCCCACCCCCTCGTCTCCTTGACTGCATCGAAACAGTAAACTCCACTGCGCCGCCCGCCCTCCTTACAGGAACGCCGTGGGCGGCGCCTTGACCGCTAGAAGACGAATGCGGGAGCTGCGCGATTCTCTCCTCCAGAGGCAGATTCTTCTGGGCGGCGAGGCTTTGGCGGTTTCTGAAGGCTGCTGCATGTGTGTCGTCTCTCGCTTCGTACAACCTGAGTGTGGGAAGAGGGGTGGGAGGTGAGGGAGAGTGTGGAGTGAGCAGGTAGTACGGGAAAATAGAGAGAGCGGAAACATGATAGGACAGTTGGGAGAAAAGCGACAGTGTAGAATGCGTTGTGCAATGCACTGCATGATAATTCGTCCAGCAAACATGCTGTGCGATGCACCGCATGATATATCGTGCAGGAAACGTGCTGTGCGATTGCAACGTGCTTGAACCAGGAAACCAGTCTCGACTGGTGCTCAGTCATTTCCGTCTCAAACACTTTACCTTGGCTCCTTGGCCCCTCTCTTCCGTGATACACCCTCCTGCTTTCCCCCACGCACCAACCTCCTCTTCCCGGTTCCACCCCTCTGCTCCTCCTCCTCCTCCTCCTCCTCTTCCTCTTCCTCTTCCTCTCCTCCCTCCTCTCCTCCCTCATCCTCCTCATCCTCCTCATCCTCATCCCCTTCCACCATCTCAAAGTGCTCCTCTAGAAGCTCCTTGTCCCGCTTCTGCTGCTGCCGCCTCTCCTCCGCCCCTCCCCGCATGCCTCCATGCAGGGCCATGTACTCAGGAGAATCCTCATCCACTTGGAAAGCCTGCAAGGGAGGAATGCGAAGGAAAATAGCAAACACGATGGATAGATTGTGGTGTTATTTGCTAGGGCTGTGGGTGCCATGCCCCCATGCAGGGCCATGTACTCAGGAGAGTCCTCATCCACTTGAAACGCCTACAGAGGATTGGTGGAACAAAGCACAAGACACACAGATAGAACCCATGTATAGAAAAGTCGCAATTTCATTCCTAAGGCCTGGGGGTTTTGAGGCGCCTCAAAAGGGTTCCTTCCATGCGGGTCATCACATCACTTCTCGGTTCCCTCCGCATGCCTCCGTGCAGTGCCATGTACTCGGGGGAGTCCTCGTCCACTCGAAAAGCCCACAGGGGAGGAATAGCAGAAAACCATAAGGCACACAATAACCATCCTCCCTGTCCGCCTCCTACTGCTCCTCCTCCACCCTTACCCTAGCTCACCTGATCAGTGAAGAGGGAGGTGAAGCGAGGATCCGCCAGGGAGATTGCAGCGGCCTTTCGCTGCTTCCAGCCCTTCCCCCCCATCACCTCCCCTTCCCCCCCCCCCTCTTCCTCCTGCTGCTTCTCCTCCGCCCTTACCCTAGCTCACCTGATCAGTGAAGAGGGAGGCGAAGCGAGGGTCGGCCAGTGCACTCGCAGCAGCCTTACGCTGCTTCCGCGCCTTCCCACCCGCCCCTTCCTCCTCCTCGTCCTCCTCCTCCTCCCCTCCCTCCTCCCTTGCCCCCTCGGCCCCACCACTCTGCTGCATCAGCTGCGCTGCAAGCTTCGCATTCACCTTGGGAAGCTTCTTCTGCACCTGCAGGTTTGAGAGAGCGAGTAGGGGACAGACAAGAAGGAGCACAGGAAGCAGGAGCAGGGGGATCGGATATGATTCCCTAGACACTCGGCTGCATCAACTGCGCTGCAAGCTTCGCATTCACCTTAGGAAGTTTTCTTTTGTACCTGCAGTAGCGAGAGTGAGAACAGGAGATTTAGGAGTTTGGGCAACAAGAGAACCAGGCGACAAAAGCACATCTCCCTCACTCCCGCCTTCCCCCTTTGCCTCCCACTCTGCAAGTCACATAACATACATCCAACTCACCGAGATGCGGCTGGCTCTCTGTGCTTCGATCTTCTCCTTCACCTTCTGCTGCCGGTATGCATCCCATGCAAAAGGGTCAGCTATGGACTTGGCCTGGGAGTGGGGAGGGAGCGGTTGGGAGAGAAGAGAGAGGTGAGAAGGAGTGGAAGGACAAGCCTTTAATGAGCACTCTGCTCCCACAAAAAGGATTTATTAAGAACAGACAAAGGTCAAGGCTTAACTGGCCTATCTGCTGTAAGCCAATATGCAGCACAGGCAAATGAATTACCTATTGACTTGGCAGGCATGGTCACAGCATTTATTTTTCCCAGTGATACAGCTACAACCATAACATCTCGTGCTACAGCACCTTGCTCCAACCACGCACCACATTGCAACGCACCGCACCACATTGCACCGCACCGCACCACAGCACAGTACCTTGTGGTAGAGCCGGGAGTGCAGGAAGAATCCGTGCATGAAAGGGCGCAGCAGGTTGGTCCCCAATGGTATGGCTACAACAACAATACATCCTGCTACACCCTTGTGCTACAGCCACATTACCTTATGATACAGGCGTGAGTGCAGGAAGAAGCCGTGCATGAAAGGACGCAGCAGGTTGGTTCCCAGCAACTCCGTGAGCCTCAATGCATGCAGCTCCTCTCTCGTCACGAACTTGTAATCATCGTACATCGCTGCCCCACCCTCTTCCAGCTCTTCCTGTTGTAGGGCGGGAAGGGGGGAGAAAAGACGCAGAAAATCAGCTCCGTGAGTCTCATTGCATGCAGCTCCTCCCGTATCACGAACTTGTAATCATCGTACATCGCTGCCCCACCCTCCTCCAACTCCTCCTGTTGGGGCGCAGGGCAGGGTTCGTTCGTAAGGGGGAAGAGAGGGTGACAAGCAGAAAATCAGCTCTGTGAGTCTCAGCGCGTGCAGCTCCTTGCGGGTCCCGCGTGCAGCGATGTTCGTGCGGAAACTTGTACTCATCATACATCGCTGCCCCACTCTCCTCCAACTCCTCCTCTTGTCACCCCAGGGTTGTGAACTCCCTCACAGTTAGCCACACAGACTCACAGTGATATTTTCCAGAAACGAGCACCAGCGCGGTGCGGGGCCGAGAGAGGGGATAAAGTAGGCCTGCAGTCGAGGCGAGTCCATTGCTGCTACAATCAGCCCGCTGCCGCGCATCACACACACATCGTTGATGCCGCCTGGTTCTGTTGGCTCCACACTCGTCACGTTGGTGCCCTGGAGGGGACGAGAGAGGGGAAGGCACGGCACGGTACCAAATGACAGGGGATCATCAGGCTGTATGCCTGCCTGCCTGCCTCTATCCCAAAATGTCTGTCTCTCTGTCTGCCAAGCCCGCTTCACCGCATCACACACACGTCGTTGATTCCTCCTGGCTCGGTTGGCTCCACACTTGTCACGTTGGTGCCCTGGAGAAGTAGGGGAGGCAAAGTGAACGCACAATAAAGGGACAGATGGTTGAGGATTCCACCTTAAGATTCAGATGTGACATTGCCTGCAAACAGCCCGCTGCCTTGCATCACACACACCCTCGATGACCTTAACTAGTACATGGCATGGTCCATCCACGGCATGGCATGGCATGGCATGCACACATACCGTGGCAGGGTTCCAGATCTTGATGATGCGCTTATCGGTTGAGATGATTTGCTGGGACGACCCTGCTATGCCTCGATGCCACTTGATGCTGTGGATGGCACTGCCGTACCTGTTAAGATGAAGGGGGAAGGGGGGAGGGGAGGGGAAACGGAAGGAGGGCGACTGAGGAAAAGAGGCACCTGGTGAGACAGTGTGCTGGGACGACCCTGCTATGCCTCGATGCCACTTGATGCTGTGGATGGCACTGCCGTACCTGTTGGGAAGAAAGAGCAGAAGGGAAGGGGACGAGGAAGGAAGAGGGGTAAACATCTCGCTATGCCTCGGTGCCACTTGATGCTGTGGATGGGGCTGCCATACCTGTCATTGGATGGGAGGAAGGCGGGGAGAGAGAGAGAGAGCAGGGGAGGGAACGGGTAGGGATGAGGGGTGAACATATTGCTAAGCCTCGATGCCACTTCATGCTGTGGGTGGGTGCCACTGCCACAACTGTTGCGAAGAAGGGGGGGGAAGGGGGGTGAAGAGGGGGAAGAAAAGGGGACAGAAGGACAAGGGGCATCCAGTGAGACTGCTACTTGGAGCCACCTCCCCCATATGCACCTTCCTTGTGACGGACTCACCCATATGCACCTTCCTTGTGACGGACTCACCCATATGCACCTTCCTTGTGACGGACTCACCCATATGCACCTTCCTTGTGACGGACTCACCCATATGCACCTTCCTTGTGACGCACTCACCCATATGCACCTTCCTTGTGACGGACTCACCCATATGCACCTTCCTTGTGACGGACTCACCCATATGCACCTTCCTTGTGACGGACTCACCCATATGCACCTTCCTTGTGACGGACTCACCCATATGCACCTTCCTTGTGACGGACTCACCCATATGCACCTTCCTTGTGACGGACTCACCCATATGCACCTTCCTTGTGACGGACTCACATCACATGCGGACTCACATGGGTAGGGCTTGCTTCGACACATCCCTCAAGACAAGACACAAGCACAGCACTGCCAACAGTAGCACCTCCCTCTCCAAGAAAACAGAGCCCATACCTCAGCACCTCTTCCACGAGGGGACTCACATGCACCTTCCCCACATGCACCTCATCAAGTACCCTCCCCTGTGACTGGGACTCACATGTGGTCCTTTATCCGATAGGGCTTGGAGGAGCGAAGGTCATACAGCAACACCTGGTAGAGGGAGGAGGGAGGGCAGGAAAAGCATGGGGGAGAACAGGGGGAAGGGTGGCAAAGATGTCGTTTTTGGGGGAAGGGTGGCAAAGATGTCGTTTTTGGGGGAAGGGTGGCAAAGATGTCGTTTTTGGGGGAAGGGTGGCAAAGATGTCGTTTTTGGGGGAAGGGTGGCAAAGATGTCGTTTTTGGGGGAAGGGTGGCAAAGATGTCGTTTTTGGGGGAAGGGTGGCAAAGATGTCGTTTTTGGGGGAAGGGTGGCAAAGATGTCGTTTTTGGGGGAAGGGTGGCAAAGATGTCGTTTTTGGGGGAAGGGTGGCAAAGATGTCGTTTTTGGGGGAAGGGTGGCAAAGATGTCGTTTTTGGGGGAAGGGTGGCAAAGATGTCGTTTTTGGGGGAAGGGTGGCAAAGATGTCGTTTTTGGGGGAAGGGTGGCAAAGATGTCGTTTTTGGGGGAAGGGTGGCAAAGATGTCGTTTTTGGGGGAAGGGTGGCAAAGATGCGGTAATGGGGGATAATGGGGGAGAATGGGGGAGAATGGGGGAGAATGGGGGAGAATGGGGGAGAATGGGGGAGAACGGGGGAGAATGGGGAGAATGGGGGAGAATGGGGGAGAATGGGGGAGAATGGGGGAGAACGGGGGAGAACGGGGGAGAACGGGGGAGAATGGGGGAGAATGGGGGGAAGGGTGGCAATGAGGTCGTTTTTGAGGCGCCTCAAAAAAGAATGGCGGAGAATATTGAGGTGACTTTTGAGTCGACTCGAAAGTCAGGAGGGAGGGCAGGCAAAGAATGGCGGAGAACAGGGGGAAGGGTGGCAAAGATGCGGTAATGGAAGGGGGAATGGAATAGGGGGAGTAGAATAGGGGGAATGGAATAGGGGATGGAAGAGAAGGGATAGGGATGTGACTGGACGAGTCACTTTTGATTTGAGAATTCTAAAAAAGATGGTCGAATGTGACTGGAGGACGGTTGAACCAATGGTGGAATGGAAACAGGAGGATAAGGGTGGGCTTACGGTGAAAAGGATGTGTGCAAAGATACTTTGCAGGAAACGGGCTATAAAGAAAAGATCTCTTTTCCACCATTTGCCCTTCGAAGATGCGTTTGAAGACAGGTTTGCACTAGCTGACAGGTGCGTACCTTTTTCTACCCACCCCAACCCACACCACCCCTCACCACCATCCCAAACCACCGCACCCCACCTACCTGCCCTGTGCTTGTGCCCACAGCCAGATGCATGCCCTCAGTGTCTTCAAACCGCACTGCCGTCACTTGCTGGCAGGGAGGGGGTTATGGGGAAGGAGGGAGGGGAGAGAGAGGGGAATGAAGGTGAAGGGTTCAAAGATGAACAAGGGACAGGGCGGAGACACAACAGAAAAGACCATGTGTCTTCTATCCGCACTGCCTCCTGACCTGCTCGGCGTTCCCAGTAGCCCCCACAGCATCAATGCGAGACACAGCAGAGGCCTGGCGGTTGTCAAAGCACTCCAAGGCGCCGTTCTCCCCGCCACATGCAATGAGCCCGTGCAACTACTGGAAGAGCCACTGTAAGAGCACCCCACCCCAAACTTCGGAGGCCACTGTACCTGCTCCGCGTTCCCAGTGGCTCCCACGGCGTCAATGCGAGAGACAGCCGAGGCCTGACGGTTATCGAAGCACTCTAAGGCGCCGTCCTCTCCCCCGCAGGCAATGAGCCCGTGGGAGGGGCTGCGACCAATCACATTCACTGCTGGCGACCGCGACTGCAAGGACTGCTGAAACTGACCCTGTGAGAGAGAAGCGTGAGCGGGTTGTGGGTGTGTGGGAGGAAAGAGGAAGCATAGTTATTCAGCACCCAAGAGCACTCAGTGTGTGCTGATCACATTCACTGCTGGCGACCGCGACTGCAAGGAGTGCTGGAACTGACCCTGCGAGGGAGAGAAGAGGAGAGAAAGGGTGTGTGGTGGGCGTAGGGGGAGGGGGAGAAATGAGAAGAGGAAGGGGTGGATGGGAGGGGTTGTTTACATAAATGTGGCACAAATGCATCAAAGTACCTGCATTGCACTGCACCCACCTGCCCCATATTGATCCTGTAGATCTCCGGTGAGGGGCCAGCAAGCAGCAGGTCCCTTTGTGCACATGATAATCACACCTGGTACATTCACATCACATGCACTCCCCCCACCCACCTGCATTGCTCCCACCTGCATTGCTCCCACCTGCATTGCTCCCACCTGCATTGCTCCCACCTGCATTGCTCCCACCTGCATTGCTCCCACCTGCATTGCTCCCACCTGCATTGCTCCCACCTGCATTGCTCCCACCTGCATTGCTCCCACCTGCATTGCTCCCACCTGCATTGCTCCCACCTGCATTGCTCCCACCTGCTCCGTAATGATCCTGTAGATCTCAGGCAAGGAGGCAGTGAGGAGCAGGTCAGGTGAGCAAATAACGCGAGCGACCCGGCATCGTGTGATCCGGCATCGTGTGATCCAGCATCGTTGAGCTAAAGTCATCTCTCGCACTCCACCCATTTCCATCACACCCACCTGCTCCAGATTGAGTCGGTAAATCTCTGGGGAGGAGGCAGCGAGCAGCAGATCACACGATGCCGGGTCGTAAGCCAACCCTCGGCCCATCCTGGAGTTGAATTGAAGCCGCACGGGAGGAGAAGAGAAGCGAGCATGTAGAGAGACATTATGATTTCTCGCTTTCTATCTCAGAGACGAACAGAGGAGGATGGAAATGGGAGACCGCATGGAACGGACCTGTTCAATCAACTCAGAACAAATGACTCAACTATGAGTCGACTAAGAGGTAAGCAAGTGTCAACTAGGCGTCCACTAAGTGTCAACTAAGTGTCACCTAAGTGTCAACTAAGTGTCAACTTACCTGGGGATGCGTGTCTTGAAGTAAGCTCCAAACTTGGCATGGAAGCACACGGAGCGGTCAGCACAGAGAAAGGCAATCTTGCTGTAGTCGTCTGTGAGCACCTGGAAATCCACGATCTCCGAGTCCAGATTGCGCTCAAACTTGAGGGAGAGCTCTGCTAACTCGTACACCCGCACTTGCGGGGGGTACACGCCTGGGGGGTTGGGGGGGGATATGTGGGAGGGAGGGAGAGTAGGTAGAAAAGAAAGCAAGAGAGAGATAGACGACGAGGGAAATCCTTGCTGTAGTCGTCAGTCAGCACCTTGAAGTCCACAATCTCCGAGTCCAGATTGCGCTCAAACTTGAGCGACAGCTCTGCCAGCTCGTACACGCGCACTTGGGGGGGGTAGACTCCTGGGGAAAGGGGAGGGGGGAGGGGGGAGGAGGGCAGAGAGTGAAGCGCACTGAGAAGGCTGAAGCGCACCTCATGCAAGGAAGCGTTGTTTGCAAATGCAGGCACACCTGATAGAGAGAATGTTCAAGAGATTCAGTTGTAACTCTTCAAGCTCTTGAGCGCACCTGAGGCGAGGAGGTATTTGCCGTCACGAGATGCCTTGATCCGCGTGGAGGCGACTTTGAACTCGAGGTCCTGAATGAGCTCGATGCGACGAAGGTAGTCTGGAGGGGAGACAGAAACACCAACCAACACACACACACGCGCAGAGACACACATATGACAGAGAGAGAAGACACGGTGTGGCACGCACGCATGGATGAGGTGGCTCATGAGGCAACCTTCTGTTGATTCGCGTTGAGACGACCTTGACCTCGAGGTCCTGAATGAGCTCAATGCGACGAAGGTAGTCTGGAGGAGAGACAGAAACACCAACCAACACACACACACACACAAGAGGCAGCTTAGGATCAGCTCTAGAGGGCGCATTCATTTGCGCAGAGGCGCCAGAGGTAGTCTGGAGTTAAAGAGAGAGAGAGGCACACGCGCGTGTACACACACACATGACAAAGACAGAAAACACTAAACCTATATCCGTTCAATTTTGAGAACTCTCAAAAGCCACTTTAGCAGATTCTCACTTTTGAGATTCTCAAAAGTAACTCGAGGTCCTGAATGAGCTCGATGCGCTGGAGGTAACTTAAACCCGAAACCCGTATCCATTCAAACCCAAACCCTCGTCCCTTCGAAACCTTGACCCTGATCCTGAACCTTCGACCTTCCTGAGCGCGCGTTTCGTCTTAAATCCACTCGAGCACGGCCTTAACCGTTAGCCTAACCTTAACTTCTTCGAAACCCTGATCCGGATCCGTTTGCAACCCTTACCCTCATACCATCGAAACCCCAACCCTATTCCTATACGTTCGTCCTTCCTGAGCGCGCGTTCCTTTTTGTCCGAACTCCACTCGGGCACGGCCTTGCCGTCAGACACGTTATACAAGTTGGTTTTTGAGAATTCTCAAAAACCAAACCGTCAGACACGTTATACACCTTCACGCCGTTCAGCGTGCTCACGCGCAGCCCTATGAGGTCGTTTTTGAGGCGCCTCAAAAACGACCTCCTTGCCGTCAGACACGTTATACACCTTCACGCCCTTCAGCGTGCCCACGGGCAACCCTACGAGTCCCTCCCTGTTCGAAACTCACAAACTCTCGACCGCTCGAAACCCTAACCCTAGTGCAGTACCTTCGTCCTTCCTAAGCGCGCGTTTCTTCTTGTCGGAGATCCACTCGGGCATGGCCTTGCCGCCCGAGACGTTATACACCTTCACGCCATTCAACGTGCTCACGCGCAGCCCTCCCCCTCCCCCGCCGCTCCCCGCGCCTGGCATGGCGGCTTGCAAAACAGACGCTAAGAAGCAACCCAGAAGGAACCTGGAATTACTAAAGAAAACCGAGGATTCCTGGAAATACCCCTGAAGCGAATCCTGAAAGGAATCCAATGTAGCGCTCAACTACGACTACAACGGAAACCCGCCGGATAGGACGGAAATTATGGAACTACTTCTCGTGTTTGCCGGACGCCTGATACGAACACCCTCCCAGGCGACCAGCAGCGGCAACCGTCTGCAACAAGCTGTAGGGGAACCTTCTTCTAGGGTAGTTGTTGAAACTCTGCTTCAGAAGACCCAACCAACACTCAGTTGCCAAGCGCACGCTTCATACCCTTCAGTGTCACTCTGGAGTCAGGTTTGTGATTGCCTGCGCTGTGATGATGGTTTCCTGAACAAGATTTAGCCTCAACGTTAGCTTAAGACTAACTATCACTACTGCTGAATATTTCAAGATCTAGTCGTGTATAAATGATGTTACGAAATCCAGCATATAAGGTGCTTCTACATCATTCACAGCCAATTCATTACACCCTAAACCGTGTACCATATATGCACTGTTGAGGACAGTACTGGCATGCGCAAACAACGAATAAATCATAACCCAATTTCCAACAACCACCAAACTGGTTGCACTGCATTGCATACCCACCCATCCATGCCAAAGGGCGGGACAAAACTCCATCCACCAGTACATAATTGTTGCACCGCACCTTTATTTACACGAACACAGCTGCCGCAGAAACATCCCCTTCCTGTATCACCTTTGTAACGAGGACCAACCCCCCGTTACAAGAACACTGCAGCGCCAACCGCCAGAGCCACCAATGACATAACCGATGCGGCAGAAGCAGCCCCCGACTTGGGCGGAGGGGGAGGCGGCAAGGGAGTAGCAGGCGCTGGGTTAGGGGAAGCCAGGGGAGATACAGCAGTGGGAGCAGGGGCTGGGGAGGCAGGTGTGGGGGAAGCGGGTGTGGGGGAAGCAGGTGTGGGGGAAGCGGGTGTTGGGGAAGTGGGTGTGGGGAAACCAGGCGCGGGGGGATCAGGCGCGGGGGAAGCAGGCGCGGGTGGACTGGCGGTAGTAGGCAGGGGAGTTGATTCAGGCGCAACAGCCTTACAGACCGTGGCATTGATGGTGCGGTTGATGTAGCGGGCGTACTTCACTGTGTCCACAGCGCCTGGGGGGCACTTGGGGTCGACGGTGAGGGGGTCGCAGCAGGGGGTGTAGGTTGGTGCGGCTGCGGCTCCTGAGAAGCATGCACCCTGTGGCAAGGAAAAGGAGTCCAGTGAAGAATGAGCGGTTGTAGTATTAGAGTAAATAAAAGAATTTGTTTTGGTTTTTACAAGCGATTGGACGACGTTTCAATGTTTTGGCATGAACTGCCACACTGAATAGCCGCTTTCATTGCAATCTGAACTGGATAAAAGCTGACATGCAATGAAAAACAGATGTGCAGCAAGCACGGTAAGGAGCAAGCACTCACAGGAGATATGGCCACCAGATCACACCCGCTCAGCTTTCATCAGTTTAGAAGGGATCACGGGGATTCGAAGCGTAGTAGGCCTCATAGACCATCAGGCTATGCAGTGAGGCGTGTCAAAACAGGGAGTAAGCACTCAACACTCACAGGAGCGATGGTGATATTGAAAGTCTCATATGCATGAAGCACCTTTTGAGGCGCCTCAAAAGTTGTACTCACAGGAGCGATGGTGATCTTGAAAGTTTGATATACGTCATGCACCAAACAGGCAAAGTTGAGAGAGTAGAGAGCCACATAGACCACGAGGCTATGCAGTGAGGCGCCTCAAATGAGAGATTAAGCACTCAACACTCACAGGAGCGATGTTGATATTGAAAGTCTGATATTCAGCATGCACCAAATAGGCAAAATCCAGAGCGTAGAGAGCCACATAGCCCATGAGACTCTGAACGTCGGGGTAGAACTGGTTCAGTGGAAGGTTCTGGACTGCATGCAAGGGGAGACGGAGCCAGGGGAAGAAGGAATGAGGGGCGAAGGGAAGAGCGATACGACCTAAGTGGGAACAGAGACGCGAGCAAGACAGCTAGGTAGGAGATTACTATTCTCATTATGGTTGCAGGGGGGAGGGGAGGGGAGGGGAGGGGAGGGGAGGGGAGGGGAGAACGGGGAGAAAAGACAGATGCGAGTAAGGAAGTGGCATTTGAAGCGTGGTTTGGTTGGTGATGGAAGATTTGACAACTCTGAAAAGGGGTCTTACTTTCGACGCTATTGCATGCTTCGTAGACGGTATTTGCAAATTCCGGGCAGAGGGTCATTATGTTTCCGTCCCCTGTCTTCACAATGTAACTTCCCGAATCTGCGAAGCAACAAATCCAAAAAGAAGTTGGACAAGATTTACTGTTATTAGTTGAAGACTGCATGATAGATGTACCGTATTCACCCGGACATAACACCCTAGCGTATATGTAAAAATACAGGAAAAAAAAGGGGGGTGTCTTCTCATAGGAAAAAGCTACATAATACCCGGGTCCTTACATATGGCATATTTTAGTGTTAGTTTTTTTTTATTTTTTTTTTTAATTAGACAACGTGGGTGTTTTGATGGTCGTTTTAACATCACTGTCTGAGGCGCGAATGTGAGTTTCGGCCGCGAACTTCATCACCCCCACGAAAATTCCATGTGGTACCTTTCTGGCCATTTGCAGCGGAAGATTCACCAGCGCGTGGCAGGGGGAAATAGTGGGAGGGGGAAATCTCGGCAGATTGTAGTAAGTGAAAGTACCGCGAAATTTCATCGAGGGAGAAATTCTCGCGATATTCTTCCGTATTGCAGATACTCGTTAACAACTATAATAATGAATCCGTAAGAAAAGGAGGGTGTTATCACCCAAAAAGGGGGGTATAGTAGAAACGAGGTCGCCCATAGCACCCACCCCGCACAAGATACCCGGGGGTGTACAATTACGGGGGGGGTGTTTTGTCCGGGAGAATACGGTATGCCAATAACACGCCAAAGCACGTCATAAAGACACGATGAGGTAGCACTCTTCTGGGCTGTTCTGAAACTCCTAATAATACCCAAAAAAGAGCGACGAAAAGAAAAGAAGCAGCACTCGCCTGGGTTGCACATCATGGCGCAGATGATCCTTTCGATCATGAGCATGCACTGGTGGTACGGCTGAAGCACATCGCACAACTGGTGGCACACGCGCGGAGGACAATGCCGAATGGGGGGCCAGGGGAAGAGGGGGGGGGGGGGGGGGGGGGGGGAGGGGGTGGGGGTGTAGGGGTGGGGAGGAGGGTGGGGGGGGGCGAGGTGAGCGGGGGTGGAGGGGAGGGGGGAAAGATGGAAACTGACGGGAGATTGAAGCAGAGAGTCTGGACTGGAACAATGCTGCGGCGAGTCCTAAGGCGAGTCCTTGCAACCCTAAGGCTGCATTGACCAAGTCAAACCCTAACTTGTATACCGAAGTTGGGACACCATCGAAGGTTGGAACCCTTTTTTCTGACATTGGAAAACATAGGAACCCCTAGTAAGGCTACATTGCCCTGGGAATTTTTCGGACAAAGAGCCTCTGTAGTATTCGATTTGATAGAATGCATAACATCTCTGACTGTACCAGCATTCCGATGTACGGTTCCGATTGAACCGAGACCCGCGGATGGAGGACCGTGGCGGAAACCCGCAGCAGCGGAACGCTGCCGCGGGGAAAGCGTACCATGGGGCTGAGACGTTTTTAAGCGTACCATGGGGCTGAGACGTTTTTAAGCGTACCATGGGGCTGAGACGTTTTTAAGCGTACCATGAGCCTGAGATTAATTAAAGCGTACCCGCGCGGTGCCGCCAAAGAGATCCCAGGTATTCATCATTTGACCAAAATCGTCGAGATTTGATGAGACGAACTGTGACTTTTGAGTCGACTCAAAACTCGTACCCGCGCGGTGCCGCCGAAGAGATCCCAGGTATTCATCATTTGACCAAGATCGTCGAGAGTGGACGAAACGAACCGCAGCGCTTGATTCGTGTCTGCGCAGTCCGCGCAGCACGACAGCTCCGCCGCCGCGGGGCACCGGCGCGGCGGAACGATCGGCTTCTTCGGCGGAAGCCCCGTGAGCGCGCAGCGCGGGGCGGCGGCGGCGGCGGGCGCCGCATGCCCCGCGGGGAGCAGCGCGAGGAGGAGCACGGCGAAGGCGAGAACTGCGACGCGCGTTGAGTGGGCCATGGCTCGCCGGGCGAATAGGTCAGCTGGTCGGGTCGCAGACACCTACCAGCTGCGAGTTTGGTGGAACTTTGGAGCTTCAAACTCAAACATAGTTTTGGCTCAGATACGGCAGACGTACGGCAAGCATTATTCATGAACGTACGGCAGACACACCTTTTGGCCTCTGCTACTGACGAGGAACACCGGTGCGAGGTAGACGGGAGCACGGGAAATGCCTGTGGCTGGGCCAGAATGAGCAACTAAGAGTGCAGTTGAGTGCTCCTAGTGAATGTCTCGTACAGTTTCCCAGGGTCGGCGAATCGGCGATATGTCAGCAGACTGGGTTACGAAGGACTCCCACCCGATCATTCCCCAAATCCCACGTTACTCGTCGTGACCCCCGCGCGAAATATCACGACCTGGCGAATGGAAATGCGAAAACATGGATCCCCTACACTGCTGAACTTCGCCCTGATGTGATCCTCGTTCACCCACGTTGGTCATTTCGGTTCGGCTGTACAAGATTGAAACCCACGTACTTCAGTGTTTATCTTATGCATTTGGTTGTATCCATGTCCACATCTATCACATTAATGCAATGGACCAAGTCTGGCCCTTAGGAAGTTCTACAGCATGCAACAACCTATTTGTTGTGAGAAAATCACTTGTACCATCCAGGTCTGATGCTTGCCTTTTCAGTTTATAGGGTGTAAGTCAGCCTTGCCACGTACACTTCCGTGCCAAAGCACAACACAAAACTCCCCAACCCCAACTAGCAGCAAAATCCTCCTATATCAGGAGAACCAACACTACCGCGCTAATCCCACATCATGCAAGCACCGCTGCAGCGCCAACCGCCGGAGCCACCACCGACATCACAGAAGCGGCGGAACCAGCCCCAGACTTGGGCGGAGGGGGAAAGGCTGAGGGATTCACAGGCGTTGGGCTGGGAGGGGCAGGGGGGGAGGTAGGCGCCACCCCTGGCGCTTGGGGAGAAGTTGGGGGGTCCCAGCAGTGGGTGCAGGCGGAGCAGGAGCCGGCGCAGCGGGAGAAATCAGAGAGGGTGCAGGCGCAGCAGCTACAGGCGCAGGGGGAGCAGGAGCATCGGGAGGAGGGGACGGCGCAGGAGCAGGCCGGGGTGCACCGGCCATGCAGGCGGCAGAATCGAGGGTGCGGTTGATGTAGGGCGCGTACTTGACTTTGTCAACTGCCCCCGCGGGACACTTGGGGTCGACGGCGAGGGGGGCGCAGCAGGGGGTGTCGGTTGGCGCGGCTGCGGCTCCTGTGATGCATGGTCGCTGTGGCAAGAAAAAGGAGAGAAAAAAATAGATAGGGGTTGGAATATGGGAAACTGAACTGGCGATAGTAAGCAGCACTCACAGTAGCGGCGGCGATTTTGAAGTTCTCTAGATTTGAGACGTCTCAATACAGCAAGATGATGAGGAGTAAGCAGCACTCACAGTACCAATGGAGATTTTAAAGTTCTCAATGCCCATGAAATTCGCAATGTGGTTGGTCACATAGACCATCATGTTTTGAACGTCGGGGATGAGCTGGCTCATTGCCACGCCCTGGACTGCAGGGGGAGCAGGAACCAGGGGAAGAAGGAAAGAGCGGCGAAGGCAAGTATGTTAAAAAACAGCTGAGTGGCAAGATGGGCAGAACGATCTGAGAGGGACGATGGACACGAGCAAGGCCTCGAGGTAGGAGACCACCATGCTCATCATGGTTTGCACAGGGAGAAAGGAAACAGGGAGAAAGGAAACAGGGAGAAAGGAAACAGGGAGAAAGGAAACAGGGAGAAAGGAAACAGGGAGAAAGGAAACAGGGAGAAAGGAAACAGGGAGAAAGGAAACAGGGAGAAAGGAAACAGGGAGAAAGGAAACAGGGAGAAAGGAAACAGGGAGAAAGGAAACAGGGAGAAAGGAAACAGGGAGAAAGGAAACAGGGAGAAAGGAAACAGGGAGAAAGGAAACAGGGAGAAAGGAAACAGGGAGAAAGGAAACAGGGAGAAAGGAAACAGGGAGAAAGGAAACAGGGAGAAAGGAAACAGGGAGAAAGGAAACAGGGAGAAAGGAAACAGGGAGAAAGGAAACAGGGAGAAAGGAAACAGGGAGAAAGGAAACAGGGAGAAAGGAAACAGGGAGAAAGGAAACAGGGAGAAAGGAAACAGGGAGAAAGGAAACAGGGAGAAAGGAAACAGGGAGAAAGGAAACAGGGAGAAAGGAAACAGGGAGAAAGGAAACAGGGAGAAAGGAAACAGGGAGAAAGGAAACAGGGAGAAAGGAAACAGGGAGAAAGGAAACAGGGAGAAAGGAAACAGGGAGAAAGGAAACAGGGAGAAAGGAAACAGGGAGAAAGGAAACAGGGAGAAAGGAAACAGGGAGAAAGGAAACAGGGAGAAAGGAAACAGGGAGAAAGGAAACAGGGAGAAAGGAAACAGGGAGAAAGGAAACAGGGAGAAAGGAAACAGGGAGAAAGGAAACAGGGAGAAAGGAAACAGGGAGAAAGGAAACAGGGAGAAAGGAAACAGGGAGAAGGGAAGCAGGGAGAAAGGAAACAGGGAGAAAGGAAACAGGGAGAAAGGAAACAGGGAGAAAGGAAACAGGGAGAAAGGAAACAGGGAGAAAGGAAACAGGGAGAAAGGAAACAGGGAGAAAGGAAACAGGGAGAAAGGAAACAGGGAGAAAGGAAACAGGGAGAAAGGAAACAGGGAGAAAGGAAACAGGGAGAAAGGAAACAGGGAGAAAGGAAACAGGGAGAAAGGAAACAGGGAGAAAGGAAACAGGGAGAAAGGAAACAGGGAGAAAGGAAACAGGGAGAAAGGAAACAGGGAGAAAGGAAACAGGGAGAAAGGAAACAGGGAGAAAGGAAACAGGGAGAAAGGAAACAGGGAGAGGAGGGAGAAAGGAAACAGGGAGAAAGGAAACAGGGAGAAAGGAAACAGGGAGAAAGGAAACAGGGAGAAAGGAAACAGGGAGAAAGGAAACAGGGAGAAAGGAAACAGGGAGAAAGGAAACAGGGAGAAAGGAAACAGGGAGAAAGGAAACAGGGAGAAAGGAAACAGGGAGAAAGGAAACAGGGAGAAAGGAAACAGGGAGAAAGGAAACAGGGAGAAAGGAAACAGGGAGAAAGGAAACAGGGAGAAAGGAAACAGGGAGAAAGGAAACAGGGACAGGAGAACACAGGAGAAGGGAAACAAGGACCGAAAAATATGGGCACGTAGTGACGGATGGGAGGAAGCGCTGGGCTTGTGATGTAATTATTCCTTTGCGGAATGATTCTGAAACTCCCTTAGTCATCCGGGATTCGAAACGTGGTTCAGTAATGCAAGATTTGACAACTTCAAAAAAGGGTCTTACTTTCGACGTCCTTGCATGCTTTGTAGGCGGTGTTCGCGAATTCCTGGCAGACTGTCATGATGATTTCTCCCCCATTCTTCTTCACTACATAGGTTCCCGAATCTGTGAAGCAAACAAAGCCAAAAGAAATGTTAACGTGGCCAATGTGGCCGCGCCTTTCCGGCAACAAATTGAAGAGCACTCGTCTGGAAAGTTCTAAAGCTCCTCAAAACAAAATAATAGAAAAAGGCAGCATGCGAAGTGACGAAAAGAAGCAGCACTGGCCTGGGTTGCACGTGGCGCCGCATATGATCTTTTCGATCATGAGCATGCACTGGGGATACGGCTGAAACGCGTCGCACACCTGGTGGCACGCGGAGGACAATGCGGAATGGCGGGGGAGGGAGGGGGGGTTGGAGCGAAGGAGGGAGGTGAGGAGATTGTGGGGAGGGGGAAGGAGACGGGGTGGGGAAGATGAAAACTGACGGGAGATCTGGAACAACCTAGACTTCTGAATCGACTCAAAAGCTTCTGGAACAATTTAGTAAGGCTCAGCCTTATTAAGTCAAAACTAGCATTGGAGATTGGGGTTTGGGGGGGGAAGATGGGGAGGCGGAGGGCGGAAATAGAGGGGGGGGGAATCTCAGACTAAATTTTGGAGGGAGAGTCAGGAGCAATGCTGCGGCGAGTCCTTGCAACCCTACTAGTACGGCTGCATTGACCAAGTTACTGTAACATTTGGAACCCAAGTTACTGGCAAGCACCAGAGGAGGCGGGTGTTATATTCTACAGAATGGCTGACGCTTTCTGACAGAATCAGCATTGCGATGTGACAAGACCCGGGGGTGGGGGACCCCTGCGGCGGAACCCGAGCAGCGGAACGCGGGGAAAGCCGCGTACCATGGGGCTGAGATCTATTATGCCGCTGCCGGGGATTTTGGGGTCGATCCGTTGCGCGACATCGTCGAGGGTGGACGACACGAGTTGCAGCGCGCGATTCGTGTCCGCGCAGTCCGTGCAGCACGATAGCTCCGCCGCCGTGGGGCACCGGCGCGGCGGAACGACGGGCTTCTTCGGCGGAAGCCCGGTGAGGGCGCAGAGATCGACGGCAGCGGCGGGCGCAGCGCGCGCGGGGAGCAGCGCGGGGAGAAGCGCGAGGAGCGCGGAGACTGCGAGAACGGCGAAGCGTGTTGAGTGGGCCATTATGACGAAATGAGGTAAGTTGGTCAAGCCCGGCTCAGACTGCCGACTAAGATATTATGCATGCATAATATATGCAATGCAAATACCCGCATGTACGGTACGCACACCTTCTTTCGGCCTCTACTGTCGCGGGCGAGAATCAAGGCGCGAGGTTGACAGGAGCTCGGGAAATGCCTGTTGTGAGGGCTGAGAGTGCTCGTAGTTTATGTCTCATATCATAGATCGGCCGGCCAGGGTCGGCCGGCCATTACTGGCGATGGGAAATCACATGGCGTTTGGCGACAGGAAATCTCACGAGTCACGACGACGCTCGGCGATGAAAAATTTCATGACGCGCGGCGACGCTCGGCGATAGGAGAGGAGACTGGCCCCTTCATCACACCGTGCCAGCCCCCAAATCCCACGTTCCTCGTGACCGCTGGCGAGAAAAATCGCGACACGGCGAGTTGATTGAAATGCGAGGTTCATATCTGGCGTCAGTACAACAGGGGGACTCCCGGTACAATTCGCGCAGGCAAAAAGGCTTCGCTTGCAGGATTCGCACATGCACGACATGTATCGCGGATTCGCGGGCAAACCGGAGAACCCCCGTGCCTCGGGTCATTCCGATTGGTCGCTTCGGCTCGGCATCATCCTTGTGGTTGAACAAAATAATTCAACATCCGCCATATAAGATGGGTCAACATCCACTACCTTTACCTACTCCCGTATAAGAACCATACTTTGAAAAAGCCTGCAGAACTAGGGTGATCAGATGTAGAGCGCACAAAACATGGAAAAAGCGGGCTATCACCAGTGCACACCCCACTTTCAAAAGTACTGAGGCAACTCCAAGTAAAACTGCAAGGAATACCTACCCTGGCCTTTTGAGAGTTCAGTTCCATCCAACAGCCCAGTTGAAGTGGCATCACTTGCACCATGCATGTCTAGATTATGTTGGCCTTGAAGTGCCAACAACTTCGAGATTATAGAATGTAAAGCCAGGCTTCAAGTACCACCAACGTGGCTGCACACACTTCTGTGCCACTCAACAGGACAAACCTCCCCCAACCTTCCACCAGTGCAGAAAGTTGTCCCTGAATCACATTTGTAACAAGGACCAACACTAGCGTACCAAACAAACGGCACGTTATGCGAGCACCGCTACAGCACCAACCGCCAGAGCCACCGCCGACATCAGCGAAGCCGCAGAACCAGCCCCGGACTTGGACGGAGGGGGCGGCGGCGAGGGATTCACAGGCGTTGGACTAGGATAGGCAGGAGGGGTGCTAGGCGCCACTCCTGGCGCTTGGGGCGAAGGCGGGGGGGTCCCCGCAGTGGGTGCAGGCGCAGAGGGAGTAGGTGCAGCAGGAGTAGGTGCAGCAGGAGTAGGTGCAGAGGGAACAGGAGCAGGAGCAGGCGCAGCAGGAGTAGGCGCAGTGGGACCAGGTGCGGGAGGGGAGGTGGAAGGGCCAGGGGCGGGCTGGGGTGCACTGCCCATGCAGGCTGCAGAATCGATGGTGCGGTTGATGTAGGGCGCGTACTTGACTGTATCCACTGACCCTGCAGGGCACTTGGGGTCGACCGCGAGGGGGTCACAGCAGGGGGTGTAGGTTGGCGCGGCTGCGGCTCCCGTGAAGCATGCCCCCTGGTGGTGCGGAGTAGGGGAGGCGGGAGGGAAAGGGATCGAGGATGTGGGTGTTGAAGTTTAGTACAGAGATTTTATGTCGAAACGCATATGTAAATACAAAGTGGAGAATGTTAGGCGATGAAGTAGGTAGACACACTATTGTAGGCATAGCGGGCTCACAGGAGCAGAGGAAAAATACTGAATAGAGTTGACTGTGGTGACGAAAACAATTACACACCCGCACTTGTCAATGAGACATGATGTTTAGGCAACGAACATGAGATTCTAACACATAGGTGATGGGTAATGTTGACAAGGCTGCTGGTGGCATTACAGGAGACAACCCTGCTCATCAATTAAGAGAGATGATGCAGTGATAGGCAGCCAATCAGTGAGACGATAAGGATTCAATACACTCACATGAGCAATTGTACTGTTGAAGTTTTCAACAACCATGACAATGACAACCACAAGCACCACGTACGTGAAGATTACACACGTAACTGACAGGAGCAATGATAATGGTTAAGTTCTTGACACCCATGACTGCAATGCCATTGGCAATAAGCAAAGGCATTCGCGCACACTAGGATTCCACATGCGTTAGAGAGGGAGGACAAAGTCTCACAGGAGCGATGGTGGTAATGTTGAAGTTCTTCACACCCCAACCTTGACAATGTTGCTTACACGGCACACATTGGCTACACACATGCTAGATTGGAGGAAAGAAGACTCACAGGAGCGATGGTGATGTTGAAGTTCTTCACACCCATGACTGCAATGACATTGGAAACCACCATGGTCATCATGGCATTCGCGTCAGGGATGAACAGGTTGAGCGCGAAGCCACTGACTGCAGGAGGGTAGAAGGGAAGGACAGGGGAGGATGATAAGAGTAGAAACCATCACGTTTGGAATGAGCATGTTTCTATCATTCACAATTGGAACGAGACTGTTGCCCGAAGTTGCGAAGTGGGCAGGCGGAGAGAAATCTAGGACAGGAAACTGGGCGAGTAAGGAGGGAGAGAGGCAGCGACAGTGGCGACGGCTGCGACCTTGAGAGCAATTTCCTAAACCCTGGGTCGTCAGGACCCGCACGTTGGATTGCAAGATATATAATTGCATCATTGGGTAACCGACGCTAGGGATGGTGGCAGCAACTTTACTTCAACGGTTCGTGGGTTGTTGTTGTTGTTTTTTTTTTTTTGGAAGTGCGTTGCGGGGAGGGAAGTGATAAAACGACAACGAAGGCGCCGCGCGAGTGCAGCTACAGTTGGTGCGCTGAAATCGGACCGCATTGTATTCGGCGCGAAGTCTTATTTTATATTTTGTTAATTTCTTACTTTCGACGTCCTTGCACATGTCGTAGGTCGCATTCGCAAATTCCGGGCAGACCGTCATGATGTATTCACCCGACGGTGACTTCGAAACGTAGCTTCCCGAGTCTGCAGAGCAACAACAAGGTAGGGTTCAGTCAGAACTACGTAAACATACAAGGTAGACATACATGCGTCTCTTTTTATCGTTACAAATGTTGCTATTGTGTGCTAGTAAAAACCATTCGCCAGTAACACGCTGCGCACAACTCCAAACATGCATCTTAAAATCTTTTCTGGATACATCTATGACGGAAGCACTCGCCTGGACTATGTTGTGACGCCTCAAACAAATCGTTCCACAAAGAAAAGTTCCAAAAAAAAAAAAAAAAAAAAGAGGGGAGGGGGGGGGGGGGGGGGGGGGGGGGGGGGGGGGGGGGAGGCAGCGATGCGATGCGATGAAGCAGCACTCGCCTGGGTTGCACGTGGTGCCGCAGACGATCTCCTCAATCATCAGCATGCACTTGGGGTACGGCTTGAACGCTTCGCACACCTGGCGGCGCGGGGGGGAAAAGGCCGGGGGCGCAGGGGAAGGAGGGAGAAGAGAGGGGGAACGAAAGAAAGAGGGATGAGGGGGGGAGGAGGCTGGCAGGCAGTCACACATCTATTTACGTCCATCCATTTATGGGCGCACCTGTAAGATTGCAAGCCTCATATCGGCGGAAAAGACCGAGTATTGCGTGTATTTGACGCAGCATTGCTTCACGTACTTTTTGTTTTTTTTTTTTGCTGCTCACGTACCACTTCCTATTTTGAAATAACTACGATTCCAAATGAGCCAAGGAGCGCGGGTGGGCACTGCGGCGGCGGAACCCCCAGCGGCAGAACGCGGGCGGATGTAAACACAAAAGAAAGTTGCTGCATGCGGAAAGAAGGCCTACCATGGTACCATGAGACCGGCACTGACGACGCCGCCGATGGACGGATCGATCTGCTGAACGGATTGCGCGAGGTTTGAGGAGGACTTGGTGTTACGTGCAACAAGAGAAATGCCGCACGCAGAAAGGAAATCCTACCATTAGACCCGAGGTTGGAGGAGGAGGTGGTGTTACGTGCAACAACAGGAAAGATGCTTCTGAGGCGCCTCAAATGCCACCTTGCGCCAGGTTGGAGGTGGTGTTACCTGCGCCAGGTGCAACACAAGAAAAATGCTGCACGCGGAAAGGAAGGCCTACCATCAGACCCGCCTCGATGAAGCCGCCGAGGGAGGGGTCGATCTGTTGAACGACATCCGCGAGGTTGGTGGAAACGAGCTGCAGCGCCAGACTCGTGTCGGAGCAGTCCGCGCAGCACGACAGCTGCGCCGCCGCGGGGCACCGCGACGGCGGAACGACGGGCTTCGTCGGCGGAAGCCCCGTGAGCGCGCAGGGCGGTGGAGCGGGCGCTGCGTGCGCGGGGAGCAGCGCGAGGAGCGCGGCGAGTGCGAGAACGGCGAAGCGCGTCGAGTGTGCCATGGCTTGTGATCGGGTGCCGTCGCAGATGGTTACGACTAGTCGCGGTCTAACTCAGATGTCGGAGTTAGGTGGTTGCCTCGCCGCGTGCGGCACACACGCCTTCTTCCGGGCTCTAACGACGTGGAGGAGAAACAAGGCGCGAGGTTGGCAGGAGCACGGACAATGCCTGTGCTGTGCGGCTTGAGCAGGTGCGAGAGCAGACGATGCTGGTCGTGACCTGCTCGATCTGCCGTAATGAGAGGACGACGAAGGACGAGAGATTTTGGTCTTGCCACCAGCTGCCACCCAGCGAGGGGAGCGAGGGACAGGGAGGGGAGCGGAACGGAGACTTGAAGTTGTCCCCCCCACACACCTCGCTGAGCTTTGGGGCACCCTGATAAATACAAGGTGTGTTGCTGTAGCGTACCCAAGAGGTCGCTCATGAGCGCCTCAGAATTTGGAATTTGTTAAGATATTTTCTAGGCAAGAAATGCTCTAGTCCAGGACCCTCGAAACTCTATTTACAGAGTCCGCAGGGTAGCCGCGAATTCCACTCTGAAAAACATGCAAAGCAGGGTAGACATTCCTGACTTCCTGGTTCCTCATCGTAACCCCTGACAGACTCGATCAGACGTGCAGCAGATCGAAGTGGCCGATTGGTGGAGACTGGGAAGGCGGAAATGGCTCGATAAGAAGGCTGCTGGGGAAATAGGGAAGGGGCGAGGGGAGGATGGCTCGGGTGAAGTCGGGAGTGCGGTGTGGAAGGGTAGTGGAAGGCACACGAGGAGGTGTGGAGCACGAGGCGCGAAGCGGACGTGGCTGATTGGGACAAAAGGTGTTGATTGTAAGGGGGGAAAGTTGGGTGATGATGCCCCCCCTGAAAGACCGACCTTTCGCGGTTGTACTGTCGAACTGATTCGGCACGGCACCGCCGACTTCAATAAAAGAACACGAACTGCTGAACAGTCTACTGATGTGCTTACTGGTTTCCACAACGATCTTGGGAATACACGACTGCCATGTCGCATACGTTCTATTCCACTCAAATAGCTGCTGACTCTATCTGAATGTAGAGGTGTCATTCTGAGACTGTTACAAGCATCAGAATATACGGTGAGTATGATAATATGGAAATTATATACAAGGAACTGTACCACAACCTATGCATATCTCGTACCAGCATGGTTAGGGAAACAAACAACATACCGGCAATCAACCTGAAGCAAATGAACCAACTACCAGCCACCCAACTCATACCAGACGTTCCATGTGCCTTCTTGCAAGGCAATATGTGCCAGTGGTGGGGGGGTCGAACTAAAGTTGGTTGATGGGGAGGGCCTAATCGGGTGTTTTTGTTCTAGCTGTGCCAAACACTGAATCTACAGCACTTTTTCGAAGGCGACGCGTGTCAGTGGCGGTAGGTTCGAACTAATTGGTCGATTCGGCGGCGGCAGAGGGGCCACTGAGTGAGCTGAGCTGCACAGTGCACACAGCAGCACATGTGGCCGCAGCTGTGTGTGAGGGGGGGGGGGAGAGGGGAAAGGGGGAAACGGGAGGCGGACAGAGGAGAGCAGAAGTAGTTGGGTGAAGGAAAGAGTACAGGGCCTGACAAGATGAAAGGGCACTTGGTGAGTTAAGCTGCACAGTGCACACAGCATCACATGTGCCCGCACCTGTGCGTGACGGGGGAAAGGGGGGGAAGGGGGGGAGGGGGAGAGCAGGGGAGGGAAGGGGGAAAAAGGGGAAGGAGAGCACAAGCAGTTAGAGATTAGTTTTGAGAATTCTCAAAACTAATCTCAAACAAGAAGGAGAGCACAAGCAGTTAGGAGGAGGAGAAGGAAGAGGAGAGGAAGGCCGGGGAAAGAAGCAAGGGCAGGAGACAACAGAGCACCACAGCTGATAAAACAACAAAAAACAGGAAACTGATGACACAGATAACAGAACACAGAAACAGGCATGGAATGAGGACGTGGATAACGATTCAAGACATACAGTGTGTGTCTTTACGTGGATGTGGAAAACGATTCAAGACGTACGGGACAAAGGCAGAGTTGTATTTAATGAGTCGAGTTTTGAGTCGACTCAAAACTCGACGATTCAAGACATACGGGTGTGTGTCTTTACGATTCAAGACGTACGGGACAAAGACGGAGTTGTATTTCTGCTCCTGGCAGATCACACAGGTGTCGGGCAGCTGAGCTGGCAAGTCCCCGTCAGCAGCTTCCTTGTCTGCATCTGACGTGGCAGGATCGTTTTGTGAGGCTGATGAGTTGCTCTGATTATCCCTTGCTGCTGCTTCTGCCTCTAACACTCTGCGATGCATGCACGCTCATATGCGGACACCCACATATGCAGACATGCCGACATGCATACGTACGTGCACGCATGCACATACATACATGCACACATCCATGCATGCATGCAAACAGCGACACACATGAATGCCGCAAACAGAAATGCTGAAGGCAGCATGTGCTACAGCCAGTGTTCTTGCTTGCAACCACATGCCAAAAAAAAAAAAAAAAAAAAATCCAGAGCCACAGTCACAGCCGAGGGAGGCACCACTGTATTAAAGAGCCAAAGTCAAAGTCAATCAGAGTCAACGCAGGTCAAACCATACCCAAGCCAACCCCTCACCTCCTCCTGATGGCAACCCTTCTCCTCCTCTCCATCACACCCCCCACAATGCGCCCCACTACAGTACCGCACCCACCACCCTGCACCCAAAGTCAATGCGAGTCAACGCAGGTCAACACATATTCAAACAACACTCTCACCTCCTCCTGATAGCAGCTCTCCTCCTCCTCTCCATCACGCCCCCCACGATTCGACCCACTATGAGCACCGCACCCACCGCCGTGCACCCATACGACAGCCAGCGGCACCACTGGGAGAAGGTGCCGATGGAGGCAATGAGAGCATCCAGGGAGCGTGGCGAGACGAAGAATGGGCCGCCCTGGTGTGGCCGCTGCAGCGTGATGCTTCCCCTGTCGTCCCTCACTGCCTGAGAGGGTTGAGGAGGGAGGAGGAGAGATTGACACGAAGGGAGTGGGACAGAAAGAAAATGGACATGATATCTGTGATTCTTGCCATGCCAGCACACTTCTGCACGGCTCCCGACCTGACCCTATGTTTTCTTACAGCACCGCACATCATTCTGCTGTTACTCACCAAAAATCTCTTTCAACACTCTTCACCGCGCTTCACCGAATCGTATCTCACCTCGCCCACGACTGTGAGGCTGGTTCCCACAGGAAGAACCTTCTCCACTCGCTTTATTCCCAGCACCTTTATGCCCTGAAAGGATGGGGTGGAGAGGGGTGGGATGGGTTCTGGTGGGGTGGTATGCAGTGGAACGTGGTGCAGTGCAATGTGGATGGTACTTTGTATGGTGTGCTGTGCGGGACAGGGTGCAGAAGGGTAGGCATCAAGCCCATCGTTCCCATTGAGGCGCCTAAAGGAGGCATCAAGCCCATCGTTCCCATTGAGGCGCCTCAAAAGGAGGCATCAAGCCCATCGTTCCCATTGAGGCGCCTCAAAAGGAGGCATCAAGCCCATCGTTCCCATTGAGGCGCCTCAAAAGGAGGCATCAAGCCCATCGTTCCCATTGAGGCGCCTCAAAAGGAGGCATCAAGCCCATCGTTCCCATTGAGGCGCCTCAAAAGGAGGCATCAAGCCCATCGTTCCCATTGAGGCGCCTCAAAAGGAGGCATCAAGCCCATCGTTCCCATTGAGGCGCCTCAAAAGGAGGCATCAAGCCCATCGTTCCCATTGAGGCGCCTCAAAAGGAGGCATCAAGCCCATCGTTCCCATTGAGGCGCCTCAAAAGGAGGCATCAAGCCCATCGTTCCCATTGAGGCGCCTCAAAAGGAGGCATCAAGCCCATCGTTCCCATTGAGGCGCCTCAAAAGGAGGCATCAAGCCCATCGTTCCCATTGAGGCGCCTCAAAAGGAGGCATCAAGCCCATCGTTCCCATTGAGGCGCCTCAAAAGGAGGCATCAAGCCCATCGTTCCCATTGAGGCGCCTCAAAAGGAGGCATCAAGCCCATCGTTCCCATTGAGGCGCCTCAAAAGGAGGCATCAAGCCCATCGTTCCCATTGAGGCGCCTCAAAAGGAGGCATCAAGCCCATCGTTCCCATTGAGGCGCCTCAAAAGGAGGCATCAAGCCCATCGTTCCCATTGAGGCGCCTCAAAAGGAGGCATCAAGCCCATCGTTCCCATTGAGGCGCCTCAAAAGGAGGCATCAAGCCCATCGTTCCCATTGAGGCGCCTCAAAAGGAGGCATCAAGCCCATCGTTCCCATTGAGGCGCCTCAAAAGGAGGCATCAAGCCCATCGTTCCCATTGAGGCGCCTCAAAAGGAGGCATCAAGCCCATCGTTCCCATTGAGGCGCCTCAAAAGGAGGCATCAAGCCCATCGTTCCCATTGAGGCGCCTCAAAAGGAGGCATCAAGCCCATCGTTCCCATTGAGGCGCCTCAAAAGGAGGCATCAAGCCCATCGTTCCCATTGAGGCGCCTCAAAAGGAGGCATCAAGCCCATCGTTCCCATTGAGGCGCCTCAAAAGGAGGCATCAAGCCCATCGTTCCCATTGAGGCGCCTCAAAAGGAGGCATCAAGCCCATCGTTCCCATTGAGGCGCCTCAAAAGGAGGCATCAAGCCCATCGTTCCCATTGAGGCGCCTCAAAAGGAGGCATCAAGCCCATCGTTCCCATTGAGGCGCCTCAAAAGGAGGCATCAAGCCCATCGTTCCCATTGAGGCGCCTCAAAAGGAGGCATCAAGCCCATCGTTCCCATTGAGGCGCCTCAAAAGGAGGCATCAAGCCCATCGTTCCCATTGAGGCGCCTCAAAAGGAGGCATCAAGCCCATCGTTCCCATTGAGGCGCCTCAAAAGGAGGCATCAAGCCCATCGTTCCCATTGAGGCGCCTCAAAAGGAGGCATCAAGCCCATCGTTCCCATTGAGGCGCCTCAAAAGGAGGCATCAAGCCCATCGTTCCCATTGAGGCGCCTCAAAAGGAGGCATCAAGCCCATCGTTCCCATTGAGGCGCCTCAAAAGGAGGCATCAAGCCCATCGTTCCCATTGAGGCGCCTCAAAAGGAGGCATCAAGCCCATCGTTCCCATTGAGGCGCCTCAAAAGGAGGCATCAAGCCCATCGTTCCCATTGAGGCGCCTCAAAAGGAGGCATCAAGCCCATCGTTCCCATTGAGGCGCCTCAAAAGGAGGCATCAAGCCCATCGTTCCCATTGAGGCGCCTCAAAAGGAGGCATCAAGCCCATCGTTCCCATTGAGGCGCCTCAAAAGGAGGCATCAAGCCCATCGTTCCCATTGAGGCGCCTCAAAAGGAGGCATCAAGCCCATCGTTCCCATTGAGGCGCCTCAAAAGGAGGCATCAAGCCCATCGTTCCCATTGAGGCGCCTCAAAAGGAGGCATCAAGCCCATCGTTCCCATTGAGGCGCCTCAAAAGGAGGCATCAAGCCCATCGTTCCCATTGAGGCGCCTCAAAAGGAGGCATCAAGCCCATCGTTCCCATTGAGGCGCCTCAAAAGGAGGCATCAAGCCCATCGTTCCCATTGAGGCGCCTCAAAAGGAGGCATCAAGCCCATCGTTCCCATTGAGGCGCCTCAAAAGGAGGCATCAAGCCCATCGTTCCCATTGAGGCGCCTCAAAAGGAGGCATCAAGCCCATCGTTCCCATTGAGGCGCCTCAAAAGGAGGCATCAAGCCCATCGTTCCCATTGAGGCGCCTCAAAAGGAGGCATCAAGCCCATCGTTCCCATTGAGGCGCCTCAAAAGGAGGCATCAAGCCCATCGTTCCCATTGAGGCGCCTCAAAAGGAGGCATCAAGCCCATCGTTCCCATTGAGGCGCCTCAAAAGGAGGCATCAAGCCCATCGTTCCCATTGAGGCGCCTCAAAAGGAGGCATCAAGCCCATCGTTCCCATTGAGGCGCCTCAAAAGGAGGCATCAAGCCCATCGTTCCCATTGAGGCGCCTCAAAAGGAGGCATCAAGCCCATCGTTCCCATTGAGGCGCCTCAAAAGGAGGCATCAAGCCCATCGTTCCCATTGAGGCGCCTCAAAAGGAGGCATCAAGCCCATCGTTCCCATTGAGGCGCCTCAAAAGGAGGCATCAAGCCCATCGTTCCCATTGAGGCGCCTCAAAAGGAGGCATCAAGCCCATCGTTCCCATTGAGGCGCCTCAAAAGGAGGCATCAAGCCCATCGTTCCCATTGAGGCGCCTCAAAAGGAGGCATCAAGCCCATCGTTCCCATTGAGGCGCCTCAAAAGGAGGCATCAAGCCCATCGTTCCCATTGAGGCGCCTCAAAAGGAGGCATCAAGCCCATCGTTCCCATTGAGGCGCCTCAAAAGGAGGCATCAAGCCCATCGTTCCCATTGAGGCGCCTCAAAAGGAGGCATCAAGCCCATCGTTCCCATTGAGGCGCCTCAAAAGGAGGCATCAAGCCCATCGTTCCCATTGAGGCGCCTCAAAAGGAGGCATCAAGCCCATCGTTCCCATTGAGGCGCCTCAAAAGGAGGCATCAAGCCCATCGTTCCCATTGAGGCGCCTCAAAAGGAGGCATCAAGCCCATCGTTCCCATTGAGGCGCCTCAAAAGGAGGCATCAAGCCCATCGTTCCCATTGAGGCGCCTCAAAAGGAGGCATCAAGCCCATCGTTCCCATTGAGGCGCCTCAAAAGGAGGCATCAAGCCCATCGTTCCCATTGAGGCGCCTCAAAAGGAGGCATCAAGCCCATCGTTCCCATTGAGGCGCCTCAAAAGGAGGCATCAAGCCCATCGTTCCCATTGAGGCGCCTCAAAAGGAGGCATCAAGCCCATCGTTCCCATTGAGGCGCCTCAAAAGGAGGCATCAAGCCCATCGTTCCCATTGAGGCGCCTCAAAAGGAGGCATCAAGCCCATCGTTCCCATTGAGGCGCCTCAAAAGGAGGCATCAAGCCCATCGTTCCCATTGAGGCGCCTCAAAAGGAGGCATCAAGCCCATCGTTCCCATTGAGGCGCCTCAAAAGGAGGCATCAAGCCCATCGTTCCCATTGAGGCGCCTCAAAAGGAGGCATCAAGCCCATCGTTCCCATTGAGGCGCCTCAAAAGGAGGCATCAAGCCCATCGTTCCCATTGAGGCGCCTCAAAAGGAGGCATCAAGCCCATCGTTCCCATTGAGGCGCCTCAAAAGGAGGCATCAAGCCCATCGTTCCCATTGAGGCGCCTCAAAAGGAGGCATCAAGCCCATCGTTCCCATTGAGGCGCCTCAAAAGGAGGCATCAAGCCCATCGTTCCCATTGAGGCGCCTCAAAAGGAGGCATCAAGCCCATCGTTCCCATTGAGGCGCCTCAAAAGGAGGCATCAAGCCCATCGTTCCCATTGAGGCGCCTCAAAAGGAGGCATCAAGCCCATCGTTCCCATTGAGGCGCCTCAAAAGGAGGCATCAAGCCCATCGTTCCCATTGAGGCGCCTCAAAAGGAGGCATCAAGCCCATCGTTCCCATTGAGGCGCCTCAAAAGGAGGCATCAAGCCCATCGTTCCCATTGAGGCGCCTCAAAAGGAGGCATCAAGCCCATCGTTCCCATTGAGGCGCCTCAAAAGGAGGCATCAAGCCCATCGTTCCCATTGAGGCGCCTCAAAAGGAGGCATCAAGCCCATCGTTCCCATTGAGGCGCCTCAAAAGGAGGCATCAAGCCCATCGTTCCCATTGAGGCGCCTCAAAAGGAGGCATCAAGCCCATCGTTCCCATTGAGGCGCCTCAAAAGGAGGCATCAAGCCCATCGTTCCCATTGAGGCGCCTCAAAAGGAGGCATCAAGCCCATCGTTCCCATTGAGGCGCCTCAAAAGGAGGCATCAAGCCCATCGTTCCCATTGAGGCGCCTCAAAAGGAGGCATCAAGCCCATCGTTCCCATTGAGGCGCCTCAAAAGGAGGCATCAAGCCCATCGTTCCCATTGAGGCGCCTCAAAAGGAGGCATCAAGCCCATCGTTCCCATTGAGGCGCCTCAAAAGGAGGCATCAAGCCCATCGTTCCCATTGAGGCGCCTCAAAAGGAGGCATCAAGCCCATCGTTCCCATTGAGGCGCCTCAAAAGGAGGCATCAAGCCCATCGTTCCCATTGAGGCGCCTCAAAAGGAGGCATCAAGCCCATCGTTCCCATTGAGGCGCCTCAAAAGGAGGCATCAAGCCCATCGTTCCCATTGAGGCGCCTCAAAAGGAGGCATCAAGCCCATCGTTCCCATTGAGGCGCCTCAAAAGGAGGCATCAAGCCCATCGTTCCCATTGAGGCGCCTCAAAAGGAGGCATCAAGCCCATCGTTCCCATTGAGGCGCCTCAAAAGGAGGCATCAAGCCCATCGTTCCCATTGAGGCGCCTCAAAAGGAGGCATCAAGCCCATCGTTCCCATTGAGGCGCCTCAAAAGGAGGCATCAAGCCCATCGTTCCCAT